ATCAACACATAACTGGCGTAATTTTGTCGTAAAACTGTTATTATTATTATTGTTCATTCCTTAGGTTTCCAGTGGAACATCAGACTTCGGTAGCACATCAACATTTCACTCTGTTCTCTGCAGTCCTGTCTGCCAGATCGACGATTACCCATAAGCTCTCATCTCCTTCTCACACGATCTATTCCGTGTCATTCTTGGATGTCCAACTCATTGTTTTATAGTCAGTTTACGATCGAGGGCACAGTGTGTGACTTCACTCAACAGTTTCCTCAGGGTACGAACCAGTGAACTCAACTTTTATTGACATATTTGTTCTGTAACAGATTCTTGGTTGGTTCGCTGACAGAGTTCCTAGTAGCTCATCTTTTTGACCATCTAATCTTCAGTATAGAGCCACATAAAGCAGCTGTTGATGAAGTTTTGCAGTGATCTGGTGGAAATGCTTCTGGTGATGCACAGCCTAAGTCTCTGAACCATATAGAAGCACCGACATTTGACATTAATGTTGCAAATTCGAATCTTCTCATTTATAATGAGTGCAGCAGTTTTCCACATTGATTTCAGAATAATGGAAGGCTGCCTTGATTTCCTGGTTCCATCTTTGACATCCTCGTTCGTATCGCTTGTAGTTGAAAAAAATGCTGGGTAGGTAAGTGGGAGAAGTGACTTGCTTCGAATTACTCTCACTGATGGTGACTGGTGCCTGTTGTTATTGTTGGTTAGGTAGTTTCATCACCTCTGTCTTCCAGAAGGTTAACTTGAAGTTCTATCTTCTATGCTTTGTCTCCTAACTGGTTACTTTACGCTTGTAGACCTTCAAATTTGTGTAGTTCTGGACGTAAGTCATCCGTGAAGTCCGGATATATATATATATATATTGAGTATAGTCGTTGATAAGGAACTGCGACGTTTTTTGAATTCTACCTGTTTATATAATATTGTGTATTGCGTAATCCATTGACATTGTGTATACACTAAGGCTATTTGATAAAAGTGTGTGAAAAACTCTAATAAACTTTCTGCTTTTTTTAATGAATACCTCCTATTCAATAACATTTACATGTTGTGAGTGTTTTTTGTAATGAGACAGTGTCTGCGTGAGTGACTTATAAGCTCTCATGTTTACGTAACATGACGTTAGAGTATGTATACTGAAGTTTGTGGAAAAAAAATACAATAGGACTGAATCTGTCTGTATTGATTGTCATTATTATTACTAGTACATGTTTAAATCGAAGATTTTGTAGTGAACTGTGCTGATAAATAATACTCGTTGAGTGTTAGATGGTAGTGAAATCCAGCGCAAGTGTTTCTTTTTGTTTGATAGCTATCACCTGCATGTACGTGTCTAAATCGTATCGAAACAATAATACTGTTTGAATATTTCATGATGTCACTTAAATGGTCTAGTGTATAACGATTTCTAAGTCAGTGGTTGAGTGGTGGAACGCTCGCCTACCGTAGACGGGTTCCGGGTTCAGGAAGCCCGATAAAGAGGGAAGTTTCGGCGTGTGCGTAACGCCATCTCTGATGAAACTGCAAATCTGAAGCTTGAAGCCCTATGTTCCATTTTGAACTCAAAAAAATGAAGAAATATTTCTATAACAAAACGTCCTCCGCTAGTTATCCATTGAAAATCAAACAGTACTAGGTAGCTGTCTCAATTAAGTATGCAACTTAGTATATAGTGTGAGTATCAGTGAACTCCATCAAAGTAAAACTGATGAATTGAAATAAATAAATGAGTGTTTAAAAACCCCACCTTTTTAAATTCTAAGATTTTGGAATCAAATCCACGAATGAACTTCATTGTGAACAAGCGTCAATCAAAGAAAACTGACTAGATATCTTGGGTACTTCTGAATAGTCAAAAGTTAGAAATTAATACCTGTTTAATGCTGACTTATTTCCATATTTTCTAGCTGATGTCATTTCATGAGAAAATGTACATGAATACTAATCGAGTCTATACGAGAGACTTATGAGACTTTCATCGTTGCATAAAAATGTTTATTGATAGGAAATTGATGCAGTGAATGATGAATGATTGAAGATGAAATGAAGATTTGAGTGGTTACAAGGTTGGAACCTATGATCTCCGAATTACAAGTCTTTTCCTTTAGCAGTGGACCTATGAAACCCATTAGTGTTTATTAGATCATTATTTCACTGAAATCACCACGAGAAATGGCTAGCTGTCGTTCCTTTGTATGTCGAGTGGAACATAGAGCTTCAAGCACTGAGCTCTGAACTTCCAGTGGCTGTGGTGTCCATTTTATGGGATAAGGTTGATAGCTTCATTTCCAACTTACCCTCTTTACCAGGCCTACTCTACCAACTAAGCGAGGTTTAGGAGTAGTGCAGCAGTTAGGAATCGGACCTACATCATATGCGTGGTTGGTGGGCATTCTATAGACTGAACCACAGAAGATAAATGATATACTATTATCAGTTTATCATCACTCTACCTGCCTAGACAGCTCTTATTCTGTCAATTTAGAAGAAGTGAACCAGGTCGTTCGTCGACAGTTAAGACATTTCAAATGAAGGCGAAAACTATATGCCTTATTTTATCCCTCTGCAAATGATTTTACCAATGCATTTCAATTTCGTCGCAGTTTTGGACTCCTCATTGGTACCTGCCAACTGGTGTTTGATCCCACGACCTTTAGGTTACAAGGGGAACTCGTTAACCATTCAGCCACTGGGATCCGACTCAATGGCGCAGGAATTCCGACTTCTGTCAATTCGTGATTTTAGTGTGACCACAAGCTAATGTCATCGGCTAGTATTTGTCCACACACCCAACCCGGTGGACTTCACCGATCATGACTTCTTACTAGAACCCCTTTCAACTTCATCTTTCACTAGTGAGCATCAGATTAATTTGTAATACTGGTCAACTTGTCTCTTTTTGCTAATAAGTTTACTGATTCACTGAAATATCAACTGTTTGACATATTCAGCACTTTTAAGCGTTGATTTTCAGCGATCTGACCAATCGTGAGTTAGATCACAAGCTAACTTCATTTAAAGAATCATTGAAAACCAGCATTAGTACTGGGACTCTCATGATGTCAACCCAGGGATGGAACGCAAAGCCTTGAAGTTACGAGGCCAGGACGTTGACCATTCACTTACAAGGACGAAATCCAATGGCCATCCATTGAATTTTAACTCCTACTAATTTTCAAAATATAGCAAAGCTTCCAGCTAATGTCATCAGCAAGTATTTGTCCTCCCATCGAAATTGGAGGACTTCAGCGGTCGTGAATTCCCAGGGTCTGTTATCAATAGGGTCATAAATGCGGCATTCTGAAGAGCTCTTAACTAATACTAAACAACTGTCCAGTACTGCGTGCTGGTTCACAGTGGTTCAGTGACTGAGGTCAGTTCATGATCTGACTTATATTCATATTTGTCTGGCTAATCATAACTTAAGGCTGTGTGATTGAAACTAAGTCAAAAAAGCCCAGCAGAATTTAAAAATATTAGGTAATACCAAGTTAATGTTCCGAGAAACAAAGATGGAAGCTAGACGTCATTTTTACTTTATAGATGAATGATTCATGAGTATCTGTTCTAAATAGTCATACCAGGTTGAAAGTCTCCAAGTCGTACTCACAGTTCAATTACGGTTATATAATTTCTTTATATTGAGGTCAACTCGCCAAAATTATAGCCTATCACATCCTAACCAATAAACAAAGTCCTGCCGAAGGAGTGTATGGGCATATTTTGCTGACATGGTAAGTGAAGTCGAATTAAAATCAACTCAACCGTTTCATCTCTTCACCTCGTAAGTAGAACTCCAGTAATCCATACTCTGCTGTTCTCGAACTACTTAAACAGTTAAAGGTATTTCCATCAGGAGGTATTATTCGTGGAGAAAATCAATAACCTGCTATACTTTGCGTGCATCTACCTTAGTCGATGAAGATTTATTAACATCCTTATCAGTGGAATCACTTACCTTGATTAACACCCTTATCTAATTAGAGATACTGCTATTGGATTGGTCTTCACCAACTCCTAGTTTAAGGATTCGGGGTGGAGTGGTTGAGTGTGTTGACCACTTGACATATTTTGAAGCTACATCAACTCTGAAGCACGGTTTGTGTGGTGAGATGTTGTCATGAACAGAAAAAACTCGTGTGGCGTAGGTGCAATATGCACTCATCCATCAAAGGATGTTTGTACTGTGCAGTAGTTCTCTCTGTCGCTCTTTACTCCTCTGAGATATGGCCTCTGGAGATTTGAAAAAACTGGCTATCTACATTCTCTCTCTCCCGTGCTAAGTGGTAAAAAGTGATGAGTAATAATGAGGTCAGGTGTGGTATTAGTTAAGGAGGGTAAGCCGATTGATGATGTTGCGAAGTTACATCTATTTTGGCGATTTAAAACCAACATCACCTTCGTCAAGCAAAGTTAGCCTCAAATAGGCTTAGGTTTGAATGAAGTGAGGAGTATTCAAAGCTGAACTTAGCATCATTTCATACTGTTCACTCTGGGCAGTTATGCAGGAAGAAATAGACTGGTTGGTTGGTTTCCCTGAGATTCTAGTAAAAAATGGTTGGAGACTGTTGGTGACATAGTTCGAAATCATTCTCTATGATGCATATCCTTTCACTCTTTGTAATGTCTTGTATCCATGAAATCCTAGCTAGTTTCCATATGCATTATTCTTTCTCCCGTACATTTCAGTTTATTATACTTTCCATGCACTTCATCCTTTTATCTCCATCTTTATGGTTGGTTTTATAAAGTGTGACAACTTGAATTGATGTACATTTTGGTGAAAAGCTCTACTTTGAAAGCTTAGCTGAGTTTCATTTAGTTTTTGCTTTTTTAATAGTTCGTTATATTTTTTACTCATCTCTGTATTATGCCTTTTGTTAAAACTATGTAATCTCTTGTTTAATGTCTGTTCTCTCCCGTATGCCCTCCACTCTGCTGAAAAAATTTCCCGCCCTACCCCACTTCCATTAATTTAACTTCAGATTTATTCAATCAAGCAATAATGATGTCCGGTTCTGATTTATCCGATTGGGCGTTCAGTGATCCAATGAAAGTTCGTACAAGATATTATGCAATTGAGCTAGGTCGTAGACTGGGTTGCCCGACAGTACAAAGCAAAGAGGTGATTCAGTCACAAGAAGCTATGTATAATGGTTATTTACATTATATATACAAAGATCAATATGCATTTAAACAGTCATTTGATGAGTCATATGTTAAACAATATTTGAATATACCCTTATCAGAGCAAACTGATGCTTATGCTGTTGTTTCGTGTTTAAGATATGATAAGACAGCAGAAGAAATTAACAATATAGTACGGTAAGTTATAGTAGTAATAACAGTAATAATAATGAAGACGCATTCAGAATAGGGTACCGTGATATTTTGGCTGTTTTTTTAAAAGATTCTTATTTCATTCATTCTCACTGTAGATATCGATAGGAAACCGATATTAGTTAGGGCATCATTAATAACCATTGGGCACTAGACATTTGTTCCGTCTTCGTTTTCTGAAACTCTTCCAGCGGTGTTCATCTGTGACGCCAACAAGACTCGAATCCTGAACCGTTAGATTATGAGGCCAACCTGTTAGCCATTTTGCCACTTAGGCCGGAATTCAATTATCCTTGAATTTGAATTGAATCGACAATATCATCATATGCATTCTGGAGATTGTATCTGAACAACTTTTCCTTCATGAATCCAAAATCTCTGCCAACCACTCTGCTGAACAAAAAGAGTCTGAGTTGAAAATCTAATTCTAGTTTCATGTGACAGTGCAGACCATTCCAAATTACCATCTAGAATACATTAATAAAAATAATAAAGCATTCATAGTTTTTCGTCTAAAGAACATTGAACTCAGTTGGAGAAAACTTAAAGAAGAATGAAAACTTGTTCATGACACTCTTGGATAAAACTTCTAGAATTGTTCTGCTGAACAAATAGGGTTATCTTAATAAACTCTCCCTGAGTCTTGAAATAAATTGGTGGATGATAACTTACAGTCAAATCCAGGGTGCGTATTTCTTTCTATTTGGAACTCTGTCCAATCAGTCAGCAGAGAAGTCCAAGTTGAATTAAATAATTACTGATACCCTTTGCAAAAGAGGTGGCTGTGGCCCAAGTGGTCTAGTGAATAACGCTTTGGTGTTTGAAACGATGGGTACCGGGCTAAAGTCTCAGTGGGAACACCATCACTCATTGAGGAATAGAGGTACGTCCACAAGCTGAAGAGTCTTAATTGGGATGAAATACGCATCCTGGATTCCATCCACCAATTTACTTCAAGCCAAACAGTCAGACATTGTCAAAGCATTTCCATAGGGAGCCGACATGTCCAGCGGAGTCACAGAAATTCGATCCGATCAATCAACGGGAAAATCCTAATTCAGTTAGATAATTTCATTGATTCCATCTAATGACAAAAAGATGGTGAAAGAGATGACTCAATGCAAAGATGGACAACAGAAGGAGAGGCTTGAATACAATGTACACTGCACTGAATAAAGAGAGAAGTGAAGGACAAAAGACAATTTTACGACACACTGGCCGGCAACTGTAGCAGAACAGGCAGGCAGGTGGCAGGTAAAAGATACTTCAGAACGCTATATCAGATGAGCAGGTCTCTATCCAGGAAGAGATCAGCCCAGATGATGAAACCGATAAGAGATGATCAAGGGAACCTGATCATCAAGGAGGAGAAACAAACCAAACAATGAATAGGTTGATCACTTTAAAGGACTCTTGAATTGCCTACCACCGGCAACTTGCCCAGAAATACCACCAACAGCACACATGGAGATGCTAGTGAACACCACTCCTCGGACGAAAGAAGAAACCCTGAGTGCGGTGAAGCTACTGAAGTCTGGGAAGGTGGCAGGACCAGACGGCATTCCTCCCGAAGCACTGAAGATGGCCCAAGAGATTACGGCAGATGTTCTCATGCCATTACTGCAAAAAGTTTGGAAAGAAGGAAAGGTGCCTACTGATTGGAAGAAGGGTTACTTCATCAGTCTACCAAAGAAGGGCGATTTAGACCTCTCTCTGAAAGAACTTGTGTGGAATAATTCTCTTGTCCACGCCAAGTAAAATACTAATTCTCATCATCCTGTAAAGAATAAGGGATGCAATGGATACAGAACCCCGCACCGCCTGAACAAGCTGGATTCAGGAAAGGCAAATCATATGCTGATCAAATTGCAACTCTACGCATCATCAACACAGAACAAAGCATAGAATGGCGGTCAGACCTCACTCCACCTCATCTTCATCGATTTCGAAAAGGCCTTCAGCAAACAGCGTTGACAGAGTATTAATCTGGAAACTGCTTGAACACTACGGCGTATTTCAAGTCTTTATCAACCTCATTCAACAGCTAAATGACAATGCCACGTGTCAAGTGATCCACAACGGAAAACTCAGCGAGTCGTTCGAAGTGCATACAGGAGTTAGACAGGGCTACCTGCCTATTATCACCAATGATATTCTTAATTGTGGTGGACTGAATAATGCATCAGACTATGGGGAGCGAGGAGTTAGGAGTACGCTGGACGACAGATACGAAGACTCTAGAAGATCTGAATTTCGCAGACAATATATGTCTAATGTCACACAAACTCGAAGAATTGCAAGCGAAAACCAACAAACTGGCTGAAGAGGTAGCGAAAACGGGACTGCAGGTGAACTCAGAGAAGACGGAGGTGATAAAGGTAACCAACCAGCACCAACAGTAACAACAACAACCATCACCAAACACCATCAACCGAAGAGATTTAACAGAGGTTGCCTCCTTCACTTATCTGGGGAGCATCGTTTCAACTATAGGCAGTAGGACAGCACGGATGAAGATTTCACAGTCAGAATGGAAAGGCAAGATACGCCTTCATCAACCTGAAACCGCACTCAGCTTAAGGAACAACATTCGCATTTTCAACACCAATATGAAATCAGTTCTTCTGTAAGGGTCAGAAACTTGCACTGCCTGTAACGAAAAGGATTTGCAACAACCTATTGCAGACTTTCATCAACGGCTGCCTTTGCTCCATATTGAAGATCACATGGCCAGAAAGAATCACCAACAAGAAACTATGGGAACAAACCAACTAAGAGCCGATCGCTCAACAAATATGCAGGAGAAAATTGAGATGGATCGGGTACACACTGAGGAGGTCGTTGAATGGCATCGCACGCCAGGCCAGTGCTCTAGTGGAATCCAAACGGGAAGCGACGACTGGGTCGTCCTAGGGTGACATGAAGGCGATCGTGTGAGGAAGAGACGAGAGAGTTTGGTCAATCGTGGACCCAGCTGAAGAGGACGGCAGAAAGCAGAACAAAGTGGAGATATGTTGTTGAAGCCTTATGTTCCACTCGGAACGCAAAGGAATAATAATAATGACAATAAATGTCAAAAAACAGACGTTTCAGAAATACCCCACTGAAAAGATGGATACGCAAATGACAAACATATTGGGAAAACAAGAAAAGTGAAACATTCATTAGTGCGAAACTATATGAACTACTTCGTTTATCTGGTTCTACAATGTCGCTCACATATGGCTTACCCATGATACACACATATAAATGATATTTCACTTCGCCACACACTAGATATGATATATTTTCCACATTGCTGAATTGCAAAGTGACTGGCAGAGATTTTTGAACCAGTGAGGGAAGACCTGTCGAGGATACATTTGATTTTGTCAATTTAATGAACAGTGTCAACCTTACAGATAAAAGAAAATGGCCTCCTAAGATCCTGTCAATTGATGACTACATCAGGAATCAGGACTTTCAAGTCCAGCCATTTAGTCACTTAGCCAGACAGGTTAGAATTCAATCACTCAAGAATTAGAACTTCGATCAATTGACACTATAATGCTATCAACAATAATGATAACATTTAAAATGTGGGCGTTATAATATTATGTAATTTCACACTAATTTGTTTATAATTATCACTATGTGAAATAAAACAGTTTATTATTTGGTAATATACATACAATATTAACAATGTAAACTGTACAGTAATGTCAACACTTCAATTTGAAAATTCAACTGTATGAATGAATTATTTCTCGAATATCACACTGATAACATGTCTTTCAATCAAGTATTTAAAGCATAAGCTTTTTCAATAGATGTGACTTATGCTACTGAAAAGATTTATAAGTAGTATAGCGATACAGATATAAATATATATGTCATCTGGAAGATCATCGATAGCGGAGAGATGGAATTAATGGAGAAGAAAAGAAATGACTGATGTTTGTGAAACAACATAGAAAATATAAAAGAAAGACGAAGAAGCACAATATAGAAGATATGCGTAAATTGTGCTTCATATATAATATATGGTAAACGTGTTCCGCTTATATCTGTTTATCAAAATGTCAATAAATTATCCCGTTGCCAAATACTGTTGTGTCCTGTGGTTACAGATTAATACAAGTTTGGCTATTGAAGTGCATATGTATGATAGAGCTCTACAACAGCAGTTTATTTGCATAACCTTCATGAGCTTGGCGTCGTGACCTGAAGAAGTCGGCTTAGTTCCCTGATAAGGCGATGTGTGTCCACTATTAAGCAGTCACAAACTACAATGAGACAGCTTTTCAGTGTGCTTCCTTCTTGTTTTCAATTATTCTACAAGTGACGAAATCTTACAACTAAAAGTAATTGAAATCTCTACTTAAACTGAGAGTTTGAAAAATAATTAGTGTTGAAGAGTTACTCTGTCTCGCTAAGAGTTGGAATTAATGAGCCACTGAGTCGGGTCTGATTGACTGGATGGTCAACGAGCTTGCCTTGTAACCTGCATGTCCTGAGTTCGAACCCTCGTGGGTGCATATCGATTAAGATTACCAAACTAGGATAAAACAGCTGTTCAGTACTTCTTGATTTTCCAGTAGTTCTCTAACCGATATCAGCACAGTTCCGGTTACAACGGAAACACCATGACCTACTGAGGATACAGGTATATCCAGCTGAAGAGACGCGCATCCTAGAAGATTTCATCGCTAGGCGTCATCACCCGTCATTAATCACTCAAATGACATCATAGTCTATAGCTTTGCATCGAGTAAATCATTTGAGTAATATCACATTTCTTTTGAAAGGTAAGCCGAAATAAAGGCTATCCATACTTTGTATTACTATTATTGTTTTTATTATTATTTTTTCTGATGTGCGCTTTCCTTCTTCATTACAGAGATATAATCCCACTTCGTGGAGCACCAACATTTGTATGGACACCAGTAGTAGATGGAGCATCTGGATTTTTTCCACGTAGTCCATCTAAAGAACGTACATTAGGTAATTTTGCTAAATTACCATTACTTGCTGGTGTAGTACAAGATGAAGGTTCTTTAACCTTTCAATTCTATTTATCACGTGAGTTATTATTCTTTTTATTCTCATGTAGCTCTAGAAGATGTTTTTTAGATGTGCTGTCTTGTGTTCTATGTATTACGGTGTCTAACTGTGACATTATGTTTAGTACTAAGTTACATAATCTTTCGCATGTGATATTTTTGTTGTGTTAAAAGAAAATGTGGTGATTGTATTTTATAATTCAGGTACTGTCAGTACTTCTCTTCAGTAGTAAGATACTCAGCCGCATAGTTATTCTAAATTTATCAATAGACAGCAATGTTGGTACACAGTGTGGAATACAATTACTCTAATTAAGGGCTCATTTATCCACCCTTGACTGATGCAAGTGGAAAAAGAGACTAGGGCGCAGAGATCTATGGCCTGAAAATTATGGACTTAGACCTGACTGACTGAGTTCCAACATGGAACTTTCGGTGGAAATGAACCAGTTCAACTTATCACATCTATCAAATCTAGCACAAATTGGTAAGGAAAGAAAGAAAGAAAGTATGTATCTGTGTAACGACAGAAGGCAAGAGTCAGGCAATAGATGATTTATTAAGGAAATCAACTCATATTTATATATTTACATGTTCATTACTATGGATATTTAAGTAAACAAACACAGTCTTCCGATTGGTTGTTTCTCACGTAAAGTTAATCTTTCATCTATTTGTGACTGTTTCTTGAATGTCAAATCCTCTATATGTTAACTGCATCCGCCTACGCAAAGTCTGCTGTGGTCGGTTTTGAATCAATCTTTGTTCACATTTTCTCACGACAAATCTTGGGAACGTAAATACTGACGTAAATTACTGTCTACCAATTGGGCTAGTAGACAGCTCTCACCACATCTGCACTATTAGGAACGATTTTTAGCCAAAATCACCAACAGTCTCCATCCATTGATTCTAAGGATCCCAAGGATCCAAACCAGTAAGTTTGCACCTTCTTATGCCGCTCATGGGCTAGTTGCAAGTATTGGTGTGACCACCACTAGCTCTTCCCCAACGTTATCCCATACCAGCTAATATTGTCGTCGAGGCAGGAGATGACGGGGAATGCATAACACGTGTCCAAGGCATCTCAATCAATTATCCTTCACAACCTCATCTGTTGACTTTCCCTGCCCAACCTCAATATTACTCGCCCTATTATACCAACCAGCATGGGAGATAGAACGCAAACACCTTTGATCGAGGACAGCTAGTGTGTTTATACCTTCCACTTTCAATGGTCATGTCTCGCTCACAGCCATATAGGAGGACGAAGCGGACTGCTGAATAGTACACACGTCCTTTGGTCGACAGTTAGATATCACGTCTACTCCAGAGATGGCCTAAGTTGTCAAGTGTCAAAGGAGCCTTCTGTATCCATGCTGAGATTTTTTCATCAATCAGTCAGTTGGAGCTGATGCAACTTTCCAAATAAATGAAGTAGTCAACACGCTGTACTATTTCACTCCCCATTTTTTTATTGGAAGTCGGTATAATTCAGTCCCGTAGCATCATTTTACGTTTGACTGGAGAAAATCTCATTCCTAAGATTGAAGATTACTGCTCAAGGTGTTCACGAGCCACTGCATTTATCAGTGTCTTCATCTAAGAGTACTACATCATTCTCATTCTCTGAGTTAACAGGACTAGCAACAAGTCGATTCATTGGTTACTGAAGTCAGTTAAGGTCACTTTCGTTAGTAAATCTACGATGACGTTAGACAGAAATGGGGGCAGTGGGTACCCCTGATGGACACCACTGGCTTCATCACTTCAGGTGATGACTCCCCATAGGCTCTTACCTGACTGTGTGAGTTCGAGTAGAGTGCCTTAATTGATGCGATGTACTTTCTGGAAACTCTCTCCAAGTTCAAACATTGTCATAGTACCTCTATGTTGACAGAAACAAATTCCAACTTCAGGTCAGGAAATATGACAATTTTTGGATGCCGGTAAGTATGCCTATGTACCAGAATTCGTTGAAGGGTGAATATATAAACAATACACTCTCTTTCTGGTCTAAATCCTGTCTAATTTTCTCGCATTTGTTTCTCCACGGTGCCACTCAGTCTACATATTATTATTGAGCCTAGGACTTTAGATTCAATATTAGTGAAGCTAAACGCCTTTATGATTATCACAGGAATACTTATCACCCATCTTATAAGATCAGATGATCAATGACTTGCACCAGTCTAACAGGATTACCTCTGATTCCAAAATGCTGCCTAAAACCTTAGTTAACCCAAATAGTAGTTTGTCACCAGTGTTCCTAAATACCTCTAGAGTCATTCCATCAGGTCCTACTGTTTTACCACCTTGTTGGGCTTAGGACAACAAATTGGCAACACTAACAGTCAAACGACGGATTCAAAACAGGATTCCTTCCTATAACTAGTTATTCTCAGCCTGAAAATTTTACTTTATGTGTTTAAGTCTATGGTAGCCGCCAAAAATATAAGTCTATGCAATGTATACCATTTCATGACTAGTCACTTTGAGTTGTTGAATAAAAATAAAGCACACTTTTGATGACGCCACTACTGGAGAAGGTGTGGAAAGAAGGCAAAGTACCCGAGGATTGGAAGAAAGGATACTTATTCAAACTACCAAAGAAAGGAGACTTAAGTCAATGCAAGAACTGGCGCGGAATTATGCTCCTGTCCATCCCAAGCAAAATACTAAGCCGCATCATCCTGGAGAGAATCAAACAAGCCCTGGATGGAAAGCTTCGACCGGAACAGGCTGGATTCAGGAGAAACAAGTCATGTATTGATCAGATCGCCACATTACGGATCATCATTGAACAAAGCTTGGAATGGCAGTCACCTCTCTATCTCAACCTCATCGGCTTTGAAAAGGCCTTTGACAGCGTCGATTGAGAAGTGATTTGGCAACTACTACGCTACTATGGGGTGCCACCGACAATTATACATCTCATCCAACAGCTGTACGACAATGCTGCATGCCAAGTAATCCACAACGGGAAACTTACGGAATCCTTCGAAGTGAGGACAGGAGTAAGACAATGCTGCCTACTATCGCCAATGATTTTCCTGATTGCAGTAGACTGGATAATGCGACAAACAGCGGGCAATGAGGAAACAGGCATAAAATGGACTCACACAAAAAACTTGGAGGATCTGGACTTCGCCAACGATATATGTCTGATTTCCCACAAACTGGAAGATATGCAAGCGAAAAGCAACAAGTTGGCGATAGAAGAAGCATCAAAGATAGGACTGCAGGTGAACATAGAGAAAACAGAGGTAATGAAGATTTCTGGACATGAACAACAACAACAGACAACGATCAGCATAAATGGGAGGAACCTGAAAGAAACAACCTCCTTCACCTGCCTACCTGGGAAGCATCGTTTCAACTACAGGCGGAACTGATGAGGTTATAAAACCAAGAATCGGAAAAGCAAGACAAGCTTTCACTACTCTCAAGTCTGTATGGAGGTCAACAACACTCAGCATCAAAAATAAGATCCGGATTTTCAACTCCAATGTGAAGTCAGTCAGTGCTATCATACGGATCAGAGACTTGCACTTCGCGTCATAAAGAGCACCTCAAACAAACTACAGACCTTCATTAACAGTGGTCTTCGCTCAATACTCAAGATCAGATGGCCAGAAAAGATCAGCAACAGAGATCTCTGGCAATGAGCGAACCAACCATGAACCGATTGTGAAACAAATGTGCAGAAGGAAATGGAGATGGATTGGCCATACTCTGAGGAAACCATCAAGTGACATCACTAGACAAGCCATTGCTCGAGTGGAACCTGAAAGGGAAGCGGCGAGTTGGTCGTCAGTGCAAGGGTGACTTGGAGGAGGTCATGTGAAGAGGAGATGAAAACGTGTGGGAAGACTTGTAGCCAGGTGGAAACTCTAGCAGAGAACCGAATGCAATGGAGACGCACGGTTGAAGCCCTATGTTCCTCTAGGAATTAAAGGAAACAATAATAATATAATATTTTTGCATGCTACTACATTGATTTCATCTTGAATTTGCATTTTGAATTTTCTTTTTAACATTTGACTAGTAAAAATGAAATCCACTTTAACTGTTTTACAAGGTTCTTCATGGAATAATCTTTAAAGTGCCCTGCTGCAAAATAGTTATACTAACAATTTTGTAAAGAAGTATATTTCTAAAAGAAATGATGAAATAAAGCGGAATGTAGTCAGCAAGAAAAAGCTTTACTTTTAAGAGTGTAGTTCAAGTCGGACATATCTAGTGACATACTTAGCCGCAGGTTGATTAGATCAACTGAAAGAACTTTTAGTGCTGTTGAATCACATACCAGTTACTCAACCACACCGATGCTGTCACAGTGGACTAAAGGTAATTTATCCATGATGACCACATCAGTGTGTGTACACAAATGTAACTGCTCATGTGCAGTTAGTTATACTGGTCGCACTCCAAGGAATTTATCTTTCCGCACTCATGAACATGTTCCAGTTTGGCTTGAAAAAAAGAACTAACCAAATCAACAAATAGTGCCATTATATCTTATCTCGTCAAAATAGATAAGTCATTTACGTTAGTCTGTTGACTTCCATGCTGCTCGAACGTATGCGATTACGTCTCGTAGCCATGATTGAAGCTATAAGGATTAACAAGAATAAGCCTAAACTCTTTATTTACTACCATAAGGTCGTCAGGGACGTAATCATCTCATAATTTCGTCTCTTATAATACCCTTCTTATTCTTTTTCACTCAGTTTACTTCACACCATTATTATTCTTATTATTTTTCAACCTTTTTCACTTACACTAAGCTTATCTTGCCTCGAGTAATTGATTACAACTGAAAAGTGAACCTCTTTACTTTGTCATTACTTCTGTTATCTACCAGCCCTCCAACTCGCATTCAGTGTACTTCATTTGATCGCTTAAATTCTCATGGTATTCATATCTCCAAGTTTTGGTTTGTAAAGTATTGACTGGCCACAGGACTGGTCACTAGCTGACATCACTTGGAGAGCCATTGGCAAACCAGGGAGTACTAGACAGTACTAGACAGATGTTTCATCCTGTTTTGACAATCTTCAGTAGAACACACCCATTGGGGTTCGAACCAAGGACTTTCTGGTGATTAGTCGTGTCACCTATCCAATGCCTGCAAACCAACACTTGATAATCAATCTGATGCTCACAAGCGACTGGATCTATACAGAAAGTTACCTGGAGCTCTAGTGAAAAGTCGTAACCACTGGGTACGAGGACAGTTACTCACAACTGTCGTACTAAGTATCACGAAGTGGCAGAAGTTGTGATTCACTGGCCAGTGGATTCCGTCACAGAGGTTGAATGAATATTTACAAACTCGTTGAGTAAACTGAAAGTCCTGAGTTCGATCACTGGTTTCGGTGCATCCATAGGTGTGTATTGTTGCAGAGTCCTAAACAAAGACGAAACGCATGTCCAGTACTTTGTGCTGTTTCTTCAACTGAAATCACCTCGTGATGAATCTTGATTTCTGGAAAAGTAGGGTAATACAGCTTTTGAGGGTTCTGATTGAATTACTTATTTCCCCAGGGGAATTAAATTTATTCTAACATCATAATGTAATAATTATCTTTACTGTATTTTGTTTTTTCTCTCCCTTCTTCTGATCATTAAAGGATTAGAAAACGGAAATTATGTAATAGGTAATTTGACAGATGATGTTGTAAAACGTATCATCGGTATGTGGTTAATCAAAATGAATGTACTTCGATATAATCAAACTGCTGAAGAATTGTACAATCGATATACATATTGGCAAAATTTGGAAAATAATACTGCCCGATGGAAAAGAGCTGTTGATGTAAGTATGAAATGCACTATTTTTTTTCCTGCGCTGTTCTTTTTTACCTTTGTTTTGCATTCAGAATGAGAATAAATCTATATATATTTTCTATAGTTTGGTTTATAAGAGTTAGTTATGTTTTTACGAGTTGATCACGGATTGATATCAGTTAGAGAACCATTGAAAACCAGGGATCACTGGACAGCTGTTTCCTCCGTCCTAGTTTGGGAATCATCGGCAGTACGCATCCACCACTAAGGTTCCAACCCACGACCTTCCGGTTACAAGGCAAGCTCCTATCTCATTCAGCCACTGGGACCCGATTCAATGGCCAGCCCATGAATTCTAACTTCTACTAATTCGAGATTTAGCGCGACCCCAACATAACTAATCCTTAAAAACCAAACCATAGAAAATTAACCTGATGCTCGCTATTGACTTGCTACAGGACAGAGTTTCCTGGAGTTCTAGTGAGAAGTCGTGACCAGTGAGGTTTAACCAGATGTCACGTGTTAGGATAGATGTCCCACTAACGACATTGGTTGGGGTCGCGCTGAATCACGAATTGGTAGAAGTTCTCTAACTGATGTCAATCCGTGGTCAACTCGTAATATATATATATATATGTCTAAGGCTTGAAGTTAACTGAATGTTTAGTAATGGTGGTGTTGTAGTCAAATTTGACAGCGTAACATTCACTGCTAGGCTTACACACCTAACCTTGGGTTACCTCCAGGAAGTAAAATGATTTTAACTCTTCCATTAAAGATTTATGGATGGAATTTGATTTCACTAGATAATCGGCTAAAAAGTTCATCATTTCACTTATTAGAAGTGATCTTAAGTTTGATTACAACAGAATTTTTATTCTTTAAGTTAATCCTGTAATCATGAAAACAACTTCTACCTATGTATTTATATTAAGTTGGACTATTTATTTGATTTTATTTAGACTACAGTCTATTTAATTATTATTATTATTCCCTTGGATCCCGAGTGTAACATAGGGATTCAACAGCACATCTCCACTGTGTCCTACATTGTGCAGTCCTCTTCATCTGGATCCACAATTGTCTGTAAGCTCTCATCTCTTGCTCACATGATTTCCTTTATGCCATCTTTGGACACCTAACTCGTTGATTCCTGTTTGGGTTTCACTTGTGATCTTGGCGCGTGATGTCGTCCAAAGGTTTCCACAAAAGGGTGTCCGACCTGTCTCCATCTTCTTCCGCGTATTTGTTGGGTTACAGGATTTTGGTGGGTTCGTTGACACAGTTCCTTGTTGTTGATCCTTTCTGGCCATTTCATCTTCAATATTAGAGCAACAGCAACTGTTGATAAAAGTCTGAAGTAGCCAGTTGGAAATGCTTTTGGTGATGCGTCAAGTTTCCAACCCATACAGAAGAAATGACTGACTTAACACTGGTTTTTGAAAATCTGAGTTCAGAAGATTTCTACACCGATTTCAGAGTGATGAAAATATTTTTTGTGTTTCTAATCCTGGTTTTGACATCCTCATCCGTGCTATCTTCATAAGTGTAAGAAGTGACCCCTTTCATTATAGTGAAGTTTTAGAATGGTGATCCATTCTAACAATGAACACGAATTACCGAGAACGAGGTAGTCAAATTGTGGCTAGTGTGGGGTTTGAGGATAAATACTCACCGATCACACTGGCTGACGGATGCACCATATATGTCGGATTCTGTCACAGTAGCTGGATGGTCAGCAGACATGCTTCATATCGTGAAAATCCTTCGTTGGCCATTCTGTGGAGTTACAGTTGTGTACTGTTAAATGATTTCAAACTAGTTTGAAAAAGCTGTGTTTTTCAATGGTTTACTAACTGAAGTCGTTTCTTTGATTGGACACTAGTTAGTAACTAGTGTAGTATGTCTAGTCCTTTGTTCGGTGCAGACTGAATTCTATCAGTCAAGTTTTAAAATGTTTGATTGCATGGAGGATTTCATCATGAGCTGACATCAATTAGAGAACCACTGGAAAACCTGGGAGTACTGGACAGCTGTTTCATCCTCGTTCGGGACTCTTCGTCAGTACGCACCCGTCGGGGTTCGAACCCAGGACCCTCTGGTTACATGGCGAGCTCGTAGACAGTTGAGCCACTGGGACCCGATCCAAATGATGTCAACTTATGATGAAATCCTCCATGCAATCAAACAAAAAATGCCTACAAAACTAATACTTGAAAAGTTTGAAATGTGTCCACCATTCTAGTTGGCTCAACATCACGGTGCACTCTGAATTTTTGATATTAGACGGTGGGGGGTAATCGTCAGGAACCCCTGCCTAACTTAGATTTCTTTTATTTTTATTAGAGCTCCACTGTACACAGTATTTTTGGTACAAGCATAGAATTTTCAGCTTGTGTCATTGGTAGCTTAAATTTAGCAGGCTGAACATTGATATCAGATGTGAGTCGCCCAGGGATCGGACCCTGACTCGTGTACATGTTTTGCGAGCGTCCTAACTGATATGCCACCGACGCATAATATCAACAATTCAGGGTGCACCATGATGGCGAGACACCTAGAATGGTGGCCTCATTGCAAACGTGGCTGATAGAATTCAGTCTGCATCAAACAAAGGACTAGACAAATTACACTAGTTACTAACCAATGTCCAATTAAAATAGCCAATACAGTCCTAAACGAGATCACTTGCAAGCCCAGATAGCTCAGTGGTTATGTCTCCGACTGCAGCACTAGTTGATGAGTGTTCGAATCTCAGGAGGGACAAGACTGCAGATACGCCTTATTTAAAAATGTCAATAGGCATGAAACCTAGTTCCACACATGGTTTCCTTCCGACTGATTCCAACCAAATAATCACAGAATTTTCTTAGTCAAATTTGCAGTGTGGTCACTAAACTGGATGTTTCACCATTGAGGTGAATTTTGGATTGATGTCAAGTTGTTTGATGCAGTGGGCAAGAATCCCTGGGCCCAGGTTTGAAGCTCGCTTGCAGCTATTGGCAAGACCCAATCTTGGAAAAACTTATGTCCCCTGGGAAGCGAGTTATATACTACCATGAATATGACATAATTGAACTTCATCTGAGAGGAACAATTCTGTTTTTGGTCCAGTAGAATAGTGACTACAGGAATTTCTCTTGTGATACTATTATATTGAATCTTTTCTGTGGAATGTCGATTTTTGTGCTTCTTATATTTATGGTGGCTTTAGTCTTAACCTAAATTTTGTTATACAGAGGAAAGCGAGGCACCTGTTTTTCACTTTAAAGTTTCTGTCTGGCCTCATTCTACCCTTGGGATATTGAGTAAAACCTAGTCAAGGGACGTAATTAGGCATTTAACTATTTCCTTTGTGACAAACTATTTCTCATTGTCAAGGGTTAGTTTGCAAGAATTTGGTTTGTTTCAAGTTTGACCACGGACTTATATCAGTTAGAGAGCTTTTGAAAACTGAGGAGTATCGGACAGCTGTTTCCTCCCAGTCCGGAACTCATCGACAGTAAGCATCTATCAGGATTTGAACCAAGGATCTTTCGGTTACAAGGCAACCTCATAAACCAATCGGAAGGACATTTACCAGTGGTCGCGCTAAAATTTCGAAATGGTAGAGGCTAGAACTCAACGGCCACTGAGTTTAGTCCCAGTGGCTGAATGGTCTACGAGGTTACCTCCTAGATGGGAGGTCCTGGATTCGAATCCTAATGGGTGCGTACTGCTGAACGAAAAGGATGTTCACTATTCCCTGGTTTTCAATGGTTCCCGAAGCGATATCAACATAGAAACTGTTTCACATTTAGTTTTCCTAACTGTCTTAATACATACATACATATAGATTAACTACTTGATACGAGTAAGCCGAAGAAATCCGTCTAACCCATTTTACTTTCACAGTCCTTTTTTATTTTATTCTCACAGGATTTATTTATTTCTGTTGCTAACCATTTTCTTATTCTATCAGATTAATATATGTGTAAAACTTGGGCACTGTGGTAGTAAGTAATTCCATATTAGTTTGTTTATTTGATATATCACACAGTGAAACAGTATTATTTACTGGATGACGTTTCGAACAAAATTTATTGTTCATAATCATATCAATTGTGATCACACGACTTTGACACTTGAGTTTTATAGTTGATATGATTATGAACAATAAATTTTGTTCGAAACGTCATCCAGTAAATAATACTGTTTCACTGTGTGATATATCAAATAAACAAACTAATATGGAATTATTCTATCAGATCTTTGAGATAATTTGTCACGATTAGTGAACTGTGATTTCAGTTTAGATCACAAAGTGAAACTTAACAATTAATTTCTTGGTCACTAGCAAAGATGCCTAGAGTTCTAGTGATAACTTGTGACCAGCAGGATCAGTTAAGTTGTTTGTGAGGACATATACTGGCCGAAGACACTGGCTGGCGGTTGAGATACCTGTTTTAGTAAATTGACATATGCCATTGGATTCCGTTCCAGTAACCGAATGGTTAACGGGCTCACCTTAAAACCTAAAGATTGTGAATTTGAGTGCTGACTTTCGTATCATGAGTGGGTACTGCTAAAGAGCCACCACATACAGTACAATACAACTGTCCAATAGTCGGTGATGGTTTTCACTGGTTCCCTAACTGGAATCAGTTCATCATGATGAAGCCTGAAATCAAAACAACACTTGATAAACTGTGACTTAGTTAGGGATGACTAGCAGTCGAAACAAGAACTTAAATCTAATTAACTTGATGTGAAGTATTTTTAATCAGTGATTTTATTCTCTACCTCTGTACAACCATTGAAGCACATTCAAACAAGTCTTTTCAGTGACTGCATGGAGGATTTCAACATGAGCTGACATCAGTTCCTGGAAGTACTGGACAGCTGTTTCGTCCTAGTTTGGGACTCTTCAGCAGTAAGTGCCCACCGTGGTTCGAACCCAGGACCTTCTGGTTACAAGGCGATCTAGCTCATAGACCGTTGAGCCGCTGCGGCGCGATCCAATGGTCCTTGAATTCTAACTTCTGCCAATTCACGACATAGCGCGACCATTTCGCTATGTCTTCTTCGATAAGTTACTACCTCATCTTCAACCTCCTGTGCCCTACTGGTCACGGCTTCTCACTAGAACCCAAGGTTAACTGCCTGAATAGGGCCAGTCACTAGTGAGCATCAGAATTATTTTCAAGTATTGGTTTTGTAGGGATTTTGTTTGACTGCATGGAGGATTTCTTCAATGAATTCAAGCTAACATTTACAAAATGCTGTACTGATCTACCAGGGGAGAAGGCACATGAATAGTTGCACCACAGGATGACAGTAGACGTCATTCTGGTCTTCTAAGAGGCTCCACCTGAAAACCGGTGTAAAATTACAAGATCCACAAGTATAAGATTATTCAGATTACAGGATTTGCAGGATTTCTGGATTAATTTCAGTTGCTAAATTCTCGTTACTAACCAACACTGGTTATACATATCATCGATAATCAGGGAGTACTGGACAACTGTTTCGTCCCAGCTTGGGAACTCTTCATTAGTGCCCATCCATGATCACAACACAGATCAAACCATGGAACTTCAGGTCACGATACGAAGCTCACTAAACATTCAGCCTCTTGAGCTGAAATTCAGAGGCCCATGAATTCTAACTTATTTAATTCATGATATAGCGCGACTGATATACCCATTAATACACTTGGTAGTTGCGCCAACGAATATCCTACCTAGTCGATTAACCAGCCTATTGGTCTAACTACTATTAGCAACAACAACACGATACGATACTGCCAAAAACGCTATGTAAGAAGAGAAGACAGACTGTTGACGTGGTGAGCTTTCACTGTCTCGTATCAACAGCGAGAATATATATATATATATGCACGCATTAAATGACCATGAGAAACATTAATTGCATTCATAAGTTAAAACAGTCAACAACCAATAGGATTTCAAGGCCATAAGTGGTGTGAGCGAAATACTAACAGACGTGTAAAAAAGACATGTAGAAAATTAGGTCAATATATCAGCTGCCCTCACTAATGCCTTCAATGAGCATCCAGTTTACCTTGACACAGTGGACCCTACTGGTCACGACTTCCCACTGTAGCTATCAGTTAGCTGCTGAAATGAAATTGGTTTGACAATTCAAACTACTGAAATAAATATATATAGAAAGTAGTATAGTTTTCATGTAGAAAATACCTCATGGTTCTATCATATTTATTTATTTGGTTTTTCATTTTTAGCTTATGTCAGATTTGTTAATCTCTTCACCGTTAGATGCAGTTGTAAAATATCATGCAAATCATTCACCTCCGGTTTATTTCTATGAATTTGCTTATTCAAGTCGAAATGATAGAGAAGCAACACCGGAGACAGGTGAGTTTAATTGTTGTTTGATAAGTACAAGCGGGAAGGTATCATTTTTGATGGGGTTTGTTAATATGATTGATGGTATTCAACAGATAGTTATGGCTTCATGCTCACTGGCATTATTAAGTAGAATGCGTAGACAACTATGAAAAACCTGAAGATCACTCTAAAATATATTATACTGAGCATTCGACTGATTAGACACGAGACAAGACTGTTAAGTTATTCCGCTAATAAAAGACTTCTTTGATATAAGAATAAAATTTGTGGACTGTTTTGATATTGTTCTCTTGATTTTCAAGCGTAAACATAGGGCTCCAACAGCATATCTCTATCTCACCTTATCCTCTGTAGTCCTCTTCATTCGGCTGCATGATTGCCCACAAGCTGTCTTCTCCTTCTCACGCTAGAAGCGACTACTAACTCATGGTTAACAATTAGAGTCCCACTCAATAGCCTGAAGCACGAAGTCATCCGACAGTCTGCTGAGCGTTTGTCCGATTTATCTCCATTTTCTATGGAATATTTTTTGGGTTCACTACTATAGTATCTTGTTGCTAATCCTTTTCGACAAGCTGTCTGATCTTCGAAGACTTATAAGCGAAAACAAACAAAATGGCAGAAGTAGCAGCAAAGACAGACCTTCAGGTGAGCATAGCGATGACAGAGATGATGGAGATAACCAACCAACCAACAACAAAAACAGTGACAACAAGCATCAATCACTATCAGTGGAATAAATGTGAAAGTGGTCGCTTCCTTCACTTATCTAGGTAACATCGTCTCAACACCAGACGGAAGCAGGGAAGAGGATGTCAGAACCAGGGTCGGGAAAGGTGGGCAAGGCAGAACTGTGTCACTCTGAAATCGTTTTGCATAAATACTATACACAGTCTGAAGAACAAAATTCGAATTTTCAATACCAATGTTAAATCATTTCTTCTATATGGGTTAGAAACTTGGTGTGGCACTTAAAGCGTTTCCGACAGAGTGCAAACTTTTGTAGACTGTGGTAGAATCTAATTATACCAAACAGTAATTTTATTTGATGAAAATACCCAGTAATTCAGTATTTATCAATGATAACATTTCGACTAAAATTTATTGCTCATAATCATACCAAGTGTGTTCACATTGACTCCCAGACTTTGCTTTATGTAATTCCATCATTTCTTACTTTTTGGCTTGATTGGTAGTAACACTTTCTTCATCTCTGGTAATGACATTGAGTTATTCCTGTTGTACGTGTTAGGTGCAGACTAGATAAACAAAGAAAGTTTCAGTGACCAACCTCTCCCTCTTTCCGCCTACCTATATTATTTTCTGAAATATAGGTCTGTGCCATCCTATAGTATGATTGTACTATGCACGCATTGCTATTTATGACATTTTGCTCCTTCTAGGGTGATTCATTCTAGAGTTAGTCTGTAGGGTTTTGATTTATTTCAAATTTTATCACGGACTAAAAACCGGAAGTAATGGACAGACATTCTGTTCTCGAGCACAATTGTGCTCGAAACGTCATCAGTAAATATTACTGTATAACACTGTGAGACTCTATCAAAATAAAATTTACCCATAATGGAATTCGCTAACTATGTTTGCTGTAGTTCACCTCCTAATTAGTTCATGTTTTCATTCCGAATGGAACACAAAAATTCAGGCTTGAAGCTTTGAAATTTCAATTGCGCTTGTGTTATTCTTACAAGGTTGAGTTCCTAGTCCCACGGCCAACCTTCCTTCTTTAACTTGACTAATACCCACTATATGAAGTGGAAGAGTACTTCGGCCGGGAATCATACCCGGACCACATGCGTGGTTGGCCATCATTCTACCACCAACGCATTTTTATAGGACAGATTCTTTTTTAATGTTATTCATTGGTTTGTGGTGACTAGCAGTCAAATTCAGGACGCATGATTCCTCCATTTTGCGACTAGCATCAACAATGAATAATGGTGTTCCTGTCCAAAGTGGAACTCAGCACCTAATTTTTTTTTCAAATGCTTAAACTTTATTCACTAGGCTACTGGGCCACGAGTGCCGCCTTCTGTGTAGTAGATGTCGGCTATTATCTGTTTAAGTTATTCGTGAAGTCTGTTAGACGAAAACTCTTCTTCTCTGTTTACATGTCGGCATCTGTTACAGTTGCTATAATGCTATCTTGAGGTCAGCATGATGACTAGCGTTGGAATGTTCTACAACCAGGTAATTCATTAACTCACCATAGTTACGTAATCGCCCAGATGTTACATTTCCTGTTTATTTCAGACTGTAGTAGGCTTATGCCTTCAACAGGTTATTTTTTTTTGCCTCCGATGAAATGGCCCCAATTTTCTCGCATTCTACTTAATTCACATCTTTAAAATTGATGAAACGATTCACATGCTGTATCATACTGTCACATCTTCAATTTGTAAATTTTTATTTCAGGTATTTATCATGGGATTGAGTTACCCTTCTTATTCGGATTTCCATTTATGAATAAATCTATATGGTCAGAATTATTTGGTGAAGGTAATGTACTACCGAAATGTGCATCAGAGGTATATGATTACCCACATGATTCAAATATGAGTGAATTTCTATTAGATTTATGGACAAATTTTGTAAAGTATGGGTAAGTGAAGCACGAAATTATATAGTTAATTAACTTACTATTATTATATTACTGTTATAATTATTCCCTTGGGTTCTGAGGGGAACATAGGGCTTCAAAAGCACATCTCTACTTTGTCCTATTCTCTGAGGTCTTCTTTAGCTGATCCCATGCTGGCCTGTAGTATCTCACCTCCTCCTCTCACGACTTCCTCAGTGTGACTTTTGGACATCCAATTCGTCGTTCCACATTAGGGCTCCATTCGAGAGCCTGACACACGATGTAATTCGACGGTTTCCTCAAAATGCATTCAATCCATCTCCATTCTCCCCGGCATATTTGTTGAACAATAAGTTCTTGATTGGTTCATCCCCAGAGTCCCTTGTTGCAAGTTCTTTCTGGCCGGTCATCTGGTCTTCGGTATGGAGCGAAGGCAGCTGTTGACAAAAGCCTGTAACCTGTTGAAAATGCTTTCCATGCCTCCCATGCGAAGTCTCTGACTAATACAGAACTAATTTAACCTTTCAGGCAGAAGTTCGTCACAAATTAAGCCAGTGAAGAATGCCGATGGAAAGTCAATCACCAAAGAAGTGGAGCAAAGGAAACACTGGGCTGAACACTTCAAAAGACTACTAAACCGACCGCCACTTACAACGCGCCCAACAATACCAACAACGGAAGCAGAATTACCAATGAACATCAACCCTCAGACGAAAACAGAAGTTCTGAAGGCTATCAAGATGCTAAAAGCTGAGAAAGCAGCAGGACCAGATGGAATCCCAGCAGAAGCATCGAAAATTGATCCAGAGACAACAGCGGACTTGATGACGCCACTACTGGAGAAGGTGTGGAAAGAAGGCAAAGTACCCGAGGATTGAAAGAAAGGATACTTATTCAAACTACTAAAGAAGGGAGACTTAAGTCAATGCAAGAACTGGCGCGGAATTATTCCCCTGTCCATCTCAAGCAAAATACTAAGCCGCGTCATCCTGGAGAGAATCAAACAAGCCCTGGATGAAAAACTTCGACCGGATTCAGGAGGAACAAATCATGCATCGATCGAATCGCCACACTACGGATCATCATTGAACAAAGCTTGGAATGGCAGTCACCTCTCTATCTCAACTTCATCGACTTTGAAAAGGCATTCGACAGTGTCGATCGAGAGGTGATTTGGAAACTACTTCGCTACTATGGGTTGCCACCGACAATTATACATCTCATCCAACAGCTGTACGACAATGCTGCATGCCAAGTAATCCACAACGGGAAAGTTACCAAATCCTTCGAAGTGAGGACAGGAGTAAGACAATGCTGCCTACTATCGCCAATGATTTTCCTGATTGCAGTAGACTGGATAATGCGACAAACAGTGGGCAATGAGGAAACAGACATAAAATGGACACACACAAAGAACTTGGAGGATCTGGACTTCGCCGATGATATATGTCTGATTTCCCACAAACTGGAAGATATGCAAGCGAAAAGCAACAAGTTAGCAGAAGAAGCATCAAAGATAGGACTCCAGGTGAACATAGATAAAACAGAGGTGATGAAAATTCCTGGGCAACACCACCAACAGCAACAGACAACAATCAGCATAAATGGGAGGGACCTGAAAGAAACAACCTCCTTTACCTACCATCCTCAGAAGCATCGTTTCAACTACAGGCAGACGGAACTGACGAGGATCTCAAAGCAAGGATCGGGAAAGCAAGGCAAGCTTTCATTACTCTCAAGTCTGTGTGGGGGTCAACAGCACTCAGCATCAAAAATAAGGTCTGGATTTTCAACTCCAATGTGAAGTCAGTGCTACTATACGGATCACAGACTTGCGCTGCGCGTCATCAAGAGCATCTCAAACAAACTGCAGACCTTCATTAACAGTTGTCTTCGCTCAATACTCAAGATCGGATGGCCAGAAAAGATCAGCAACAGAGATTTCTGGGAGCGAACTAACCAGGAACCAATTGTGAAGTAAAGGAAGTAGCCACCTTCACAATTATTCAGCTGATAGCGACTGGTGCTTGTTGTTGTTGTTGGTGGTGGTGGTGGTTATTTGATTATCTTCACCACCTACCTCCCTCTTCTCTGTGTTCACTTGAAGCCCTGTCTTTGCTGCCTGTCCCTTCTGCCTGTTTGTTTGTTTGTTTTCGTCTGTAAGTCTTCGACTGTTTGTGTGACATCAGATACAAATCATTCGTGAAGTCCAGATCTCCTTGGACCTTCTTATCCATCCAACGTATTCCTGTCTTCTCGCCGCAAAATCCAGTTCACCACAATTAGGAATATCATCGTGAGTGATAATGGGCAGCCTCGTCTAACTCCTGTCTTCACTGCAAAAGCTTCATTGAGTTTTCCGTTGTGAATCACTTGATGCGTGGTATTTTCATATAACTGCTGAATGAGGTTGATAAAGGTTTTTCTGCTAAAGATCCTTGGGTAGTTCAAAGAAAGAATATTCACCAGACACCTGAGAGATTCAGGTTCGATTCCTGGCTGCCATAGTCCTAAACTGTGCCTATTGAAAGTTGGGTGTTAGTTCGAGGGTAACATAAGGGAAATGGTATGGGGAGGAGATGAAGGCATATGGGCACTAATTGAGGCAACTAAAAGAAAGAATAATTCCAGAAAACAGGATGAAATGGGTATTTACTGCTGAAGTCCTGTTCCACTTGGAACCTAAGAGTATAATAATAATAATAATAATAGCCGATGTTGAAATTATTCAATGTAGCTTTGTATTGGGTAGACTGCTACTGACTTAATCAATGTTGAATGATTTAGAGTGAAAGAAATATCTTGTTGGTGGCGAGACTCCAAGTAAAGGCTCAGCTATTAAACAGGTCATTATTTCCCTGAGACCATCACGACTAATGCCAAGCTATCGCATAAATCAATGACAGATTATTGACAAAGCAAGAAGAATAAAATATATAATAGTATAAAATGTGGTAAGCCTTTTGATTTCAAAACTTCTATTTAGCTGAAGATAGCCTAAAATATACTGGAACATAGGGCTTCAGGCTGGAAAAGAGCTAGCGGCGGTCAAAACAAAACATGGCACCAGTCAATGAAATCTACAACAGTTAGTTTAAGCCACGTAGGAAGGTGTAGACTTCCTGACTGGTTGGGGTCCTGGGGACGGTAAAAACCAATGGTTGGAAACAATTGGTGACATGGCTCAAAACCATTCTCAATGGCGCAGATACATCCATTCCTTGTGACTTATGATTTCCAATGAAACTATATTGCTCTTCGTTACTACTATTCCTTTATCTCTCCCCTCTGTTTACTGTCTATATTATGCATTTCTTCTACTTTCTTCTCTTGCTTTGTGTGCTACATGGAGTGTGGCGATTTGAACTGCCGCACATCGGTGCAAAGTTCTATGTCGAAAACAGACAGACAGACAGCTTCAGACTTGGGCTTTGACGTTGCTTTATGCAGGTTGGAGTTGCTTGCCTCATGCCAAGCCTTCACCCTTTGCCGGGCTTGCTACTGGCTAAGCAAGATTCAGGAGTGCGTCGGCTGAGAATCCAAATCGGATCACTTTTGGCGTGGTTAGCAAACATTCCACCAATGACCAAGCCATTAACTACGCAGGAGTATACAAGACAGCATTTAGAAGGAATACAAAATCAAATTAATGAGTTAAGAACAGTGGGTCTAAAACTAAAGCGATAGTAAATGATAAAATGCAAATTCAAAATCACCAAGCTAAGTGACGACATCACACTTTATTTCTGTTTACACAAATTTGGTTTAGGTCTCTTGATGACAGCATATACTGCTAGGCTACCTAGACCTCTCACATTTTCAATCACTTCCAAATGCTTCTCGCTGTATTACTACGTAATCCACTAGTTGTGTGTAATTATATAAATAACCAGTTTCTTTTTGTGTCATTGATGGCAATGTTTATACAAACAGCTGTCACTCTTTACTGATTTGCGTTATGGTTAAAACCATCTAAAGTTCTAATATTGGACCACCTCTTCGAAACAGGCCACAAAGCTAACATTAAAGAGTCTTTCTCTATCATCTATCGGGTACCAAATAGATTACCGAACACTCCAAACACCACAGGCCATTGCAATTCCCTTATATCAAATGGAGCTCTACGTGCACAAGAAACAGGTGCAACCACTACTTCTACCTTGGCCTGGCTGTGGAACTTATAAATTCACAAATCCTGTGTTATTTCCCATAATTTACCTGATATTTGGCTTTTTTATACCTTCACGTTCCCAGTGGAACATAGGGCTTCAAGCTAGATGCTTGAAGTTTCTGTAGCAGTGTTCATTTTTACAGCTCAACCTTCCCTCTTGGCCAGTTCTATTACTGGCTTAGCGAGGTAAAGGAGTGCGTCGACCGGTGATCGAACCCCGGACCATGTGCATGGTCGGTGAGCGTCCTAAACCGCTGTGCCACCGACGCGATATTTGGTTTAGTGTTAGATTAATGCATATTGTCTCTCACTGATGCTTTGTAAATTCAATCTGTCGATACTACTGTTTCGTAAAACTAAAATCTTAGTATCTGCGATGTAAATAAATCGTTTGTTTGTAATTGAAGAGGAACCTCAAATTAGAAATGTGAACCACATTTATGCTAGAAACTTTGTTTCAATGCTTTAACAATTACATCGCCATTCACTTGACCTCAATAATTATTAAATGCTATTACTTTTTATTGTTATATATATAATTAGCAATCCGACACCTGAAAAAGTTAAAAACATTAACTGGTCAAGATTTAGACAACCAGAAGAAGCCTACCTGCGTATTCAATTGAATAGTTCAATTCAATATCATTATCGTTCATCAGATATGGCATTTTGGCAAAATCGTTTTGAATCATTAGCAGAACCTCTACCAGGTGAGTTTACTAGAGAAAAGTAATTTCACATAAATATATAATATTGTACCCTGTAATAGTAACAGTATCCATTTATGATCCCAACTTAAGGGATCGGACCTAGGACTTTCAGGTTCCAAAGTGATCTTGTTACACATTTGAACACCAGTTAAGAGAATTCAAGAGCCTATGAATTCTAGCCTTTGCCAATGTCATCAGAGATTATTTGTCCTCACTTAGCTCGGCTAAAATGAAACAACTGTCCAGTAAGTACTTCATGGTTTTAAAATGGTTCTCTAACTTATGTCCGTCAGTCATTTAACTCGAAACAAGTCATATCCCTTCAAACCAACACTATAAAACAAATATACATGCATACTTGTATGGAGGATTTCATCATGAGCTGACATCAGTTAGAGAACCACTGGAAAACCTGGGAGTACTGGACAGCTGTTTCGTCCTAGTTTGGGACTCTTCATCAGTACGCACCCACTGGGATTCGAACCCAGGACCTTCTGGTTACAAGGCGAGCTCGTAGACCATTGAGCCACTGGGACCCGATCCAATGGTCCTTGAATTCTAACTTCTGCCAATTCACGACATAGCGCGACCATTTCGCAATGTCTTCTTAGATGAGTTACTGTCACATCTCCAACCTGCTATACCCTACTGGTCACGGCTTCCCACTAGAACCCCAGGTTAACTGCCTGAATAGGGCCAGTCACTAGTGAGCATCAGATTAATTTTCAAGTATTGGTTTGGTAGGGATTTTGTTTAATTGTATGCATACGATATCAGCCTGTTAAGTATCCCAAAATATCTATGGTAGTTAAAGATTCAGATTAGGATTTGTCGTGATTTTGGATTATCTAGGAAGCACCGTTTCAACTACAAGCAGTCGGAACGGATGAAGATGTCAATGCCAGCCAGCCAACCAGACAAAATCAGAAGGGCAGGATACGCCTTCTTCAACCAGAAACCAGTTCGGAAATCATCTACTTCACTCAGCCAGCACAAATAATAGAATTCAGATTCTCTTCAACACAAATGTGAAGTCAGTCACTTATTCTATACGCGCGTCAGTCACGAAAAGCATTTCCAACATATTACAGGCTTACATCAACAGCTGCCACCTTCACTGGTTGGCTGGCTCCATACTGAAGATCGAATGGCTGGCCAGTTGGCCAGACAGAAAGAATTAGCAACAAGAAACTCTGCATTGGAACAAACCAACAGACGAGAGCCGATTGCTCAACAAATATATAGGAGAAAATGGAGATGGATGGATTGGGAATACGTTGAGGAGACCGCGCACAATACAGGCCATTACTCGAGCGGGATCCCAGTTAGAAGCGACGAGTGGTTCGTCAGTACGAGGGTGGAGAGTGACATGGAGGAGATCATGTGTTGGGGGGGGGGAAGAGGAGATGAGAGATTATGGACAATCGGGGGGTAAGCTGAAGAGGAGATGTGTTGTTGAAGCTAGCCCTATGTTCCACTCGGATCCCAAGGGAATAACAATAATAAGTGATTTTGAATTAATTTCATTTTTCAGATTCCCATCAAAAACCAAGGAGCTCTAGACAGTTGTTTCGCCCCTGATAGGGGCTGACTCTTCATCAGTGCTCACTGAAGACCCCACGACAGATCAAACTTGTGACCTCGAGGTTACGAGATCAAGCTAGTTAACTATTCAGAGACTTGGGCTGGGATCCAATGAACTGTGAATTCTCACTTTGTCAGCTCATGATACAACGCTGCTCTCACCGGTGTATCAGATTGGCTCCCACCTCACTATGACATAGTGGACTGCACTGGCAACGACTTCCCAAAACAACTTCAGGAAATCCATGCAGTAGCCATTAGTGAGCTGGCGATAGTTAAATAGATAAATGGCATAATATGCAGTTGCATTTCGGTAGTTTATATGTAATTACAGTGCTTTTAGCAGTGAAATAAATGAATCCATACTCAGGGGGTATTTCCAACAGTAAGACTACTTATTTACTGTGCAAGTCTCGTATCCTAAAGGTTCTGGATGCAATCCCTGGTGAAGTTATGGGTGTGCATTGCTGAATAATCCCAGAAGGAGGATGAAACACGCGACCAATACTCCCTGGTTTTTAGTGATCTCTAAATGGTGTTGGTTTGTGATGAAATCTACATCAGTAATGAAATCAAGTCTAACTGTGTGGGAAACTCGAATCAGCTAAAAAACCCTCGAAGCAGTGGACAGTCATTTTATCCTACTTTGTCAGTGTGTTTCAATATGCGCCCGTGACATAAAAGTTATCCAGTGTTCTTAAACATCCATTAGTAATGAAATGAACCGTGAAATATATTAGTTAATCCCCATGCATCTAACAAACTTACTACTGTTTTGCATCAATGATTCCAAATACTGAAACTCAAATTCCCTCGCTTTCTTGATTGGCATAAATCATTATATCAAGTAGACTATATATTTTTCTGAAATATTTTGGTTTCCGAAAGACACTGTAGTGATCCAGTTTGGACAGTGTAATTTATCAATGAAGAATTAGACGCTATGTATTACCAGTTCATCTAAGTAGATAACTAGAATTCAGGTAGTTTGAACTGATGCAGCTAGCTGAGCAGAGTCAGTGTGGTTACACCGCAAGTACTCCTGGCTGATATGAGTGGTCGACAAATATACATGATAAGATACATGCCATTCATTGATTTCAGCAGTCCAGAAAATATAATGACATTTCAACCCAGAAAGTAAACAATCAATTTTTTTGATGCCTAAGAATATCATTACTAAAGCGATTTAAATCGAATCAATTCGATTCTATGAGTTAAAATTCAATACGGATTCAGTTCTGATAATTAAATGAGTGAAATGACCAGTAGACTTTCCGATCAATCTGTGAATATTGGTGTAAGACGGTTGGAGGAGATCGGTAGGAACCCCCTGAACTTGGGTTTCATGCTTGCTGGCACCCATCAGCATGGAATACTTTCAGCCTTGAAGGATCTGCTGACCCGCATCAGCTAATGCTGCAGTCATATACATTACTACTGAGCTACTCAGTTCCATGATTACGTAAACGCATTATTATTCCTAAATCACAAAATTCGTACATTATGGGCGCCAAGAGATGAGCTACACAGAATCCATAGTTTGTGCGAGGGCTGGGACACTGCCTGTATCGAAGCAGGTGGTTGTCTTAAAGGGCCAATCCCCACCCCTGAGCACCTCTCTTGAAGTCTGATGCACAAGACAGTGGAACACTGTCAGCAGCTGAGTCGTCCATAGTAGCCGGCGACCGAGACTGGTTCATTCGCTATTCGATCCTTTAGGATTCTGAAGCCCATATACACCACTGTCTTCGAAATCAAGGTTTTTCAGCTCGCCTAAGTAGACCTACGTGTGCACCAGTTCAGTTGTAAGTAACCGCCAAACGTTCCCATTCATCCTTCCACTTTTGTGAGGAACACCGCATGCACGGTGAAGGGTTAAATTAGTATTCATTTCATTATTTTTATTGTTTACACTCATTTCATCTCACTCTTATTGTTTTCATTCTTTCTATTCAATGCATTACGAAAACAGCATCTCCACCAATTTATCGTACTCCATTAATCGACATACGACTGGCTACAGTTATATTAAGTTGTCTATTAGCTATTGCATTGATTAGTATAATAATAATTATTATCTTATTAATACGACGTCCAAATCCTAAACACTTTAAATCAAATATACGTTATACAACACCAGGAAGTGAATTTCATGCATCCTTTAAAGATTCCTTTGCCAACAGTAATATTTATTCATCATCAATAACAGCAACAACACCAACACCATCTTCCGTGTATCCTCAACAACAACAACAACAACCGCGGCCACCCAGTACATTTAGTTATTTCACTAATAAAGAGAATAAATTCCTGTCAGCGTCTTCATTAGCACATACAAATGATCCATTGGCATCATTACTAACAGTGAATAAACATCCACCACCTCCTCCAATACCCTCATCATCACCGCAACAACAACAACAACAATATTATGATCGAAGAGGTTCTTCATCTGAATCTTCAAATGGTTCATTATCCTTAATATCATCGTCCTCACCACACCACCACCACAAACAACAACGCCAGCTGCAGCACCATCAACATCACGTCGTCGACAACTGAAACAAAAGCATGATGAGAGTAAGTCATTGATGATGAAAGGCGTTAATGATTGCCTCATAATGAATAGACTGAATCAACAAGATCCACAACAATCTGATCCTTTACTGCATGCCATTGATAATAATAACAATAATAATAATAATCCTTATAAACCTTACATAACAGACGTTTAACCACCTGAGGGATTAAACAATGCAAGTTAGCATGTAAATAATGCATTTCTCTGTGTCAAGAATTAACAATAACCAGCAACCAAAACGCAAAAATGAAGCACATTTCTTCCAGTGATGAATGGTGTAATGAAAGTTATTATTATTATCCATCAGTTCTGTGGTGCTGTTTTTGTTTTTTTTTCTTTTACTTTTATTGGTCAATAATCATGTCGAATCAACTGATTTCCTACTTTCTTATTATTATTATGGCGAACTCCTGACTGTTGTGTGTAATTAACGTGTATCACCTAAATAGTAATAACAGTTCCATAGTGTGATCATTGACAATTAGCTTTTGCTTCTGTGTTTGTTTGTGTTTCCTGGTTTTCTCTCTCTATCTCTCTTCGGCTCTCTCTTATTTCTATTTACTGTATGTATATTTTATTTTAAATGTAGAATTCATTGTTCACATTTTAGTTTTCATTAAACACAAACTATGGTGAGTGATTTGGATATTTTCTTAAAAATAAACAAGACAGAAATAATAATTTAAATTGATTTATGTTCCCTTGAGTTCTGAGTGGAGTGTATAAGGGATTCAACAGTATATTCTCCGTTTTATCCTGTTCACTGAAGTTCTCTTCAACTGGTTTCAATTTCACAGGCATTCATTTCCTCTGCACACGATCTCCTCCGTGTTACTCACGGACCCAGGTCCAACTCACCCATTTCCCAATTCGGGTTCGCATGTGATTTCACTCAACGGTCTCGCAGGCGTACGTCGGATTTACTTTCTTTACCTCCTCCATAACTGTTAAGCAACAAGTACTTGGTTAATTTGTTCCCAGCGCTCCTTGTGCCTAAACCCTTCTGATTGGTCATCTGACCTCTAGTATCAATTAGGCGAAGGTATCATCTGTTGATTACAGTTTGCAGTAGCCTGCTGGAAATGCTACAAGTGACGCCCACGTAAAGTCATTGAACCATATAGAAGAAGTGACTTAACATTCGCTCTGAAGTCCCAGATTTAGCTATTCAACCTGAGTGAAGTGGATTTCAAAACTGATTTTAGAGTGATTAAATTCTGACTTGCCATGCTATGCTTATCCTCACTGAAATACTATTAAATACTAACTATCCTTGGGAATTCACTAAACCACATAGAATCGCAACACATATACGGAAGGCTACACCAATTCAATCAACACCCAAAATTCCATGTTTATAAAAAAAAACGTAGAACAACTGTGAAAAAAATTATCACCGATGATATTCTTAATTGTGGTGCACAGCATTATGCATCAGACTGTGCGCTGGGAGCGAGGAGTCAGGAATACCCTGAACCACAGGTAAAAAGGTCGGGATTTCGCAGACGATATATGTCTAATATCACACAAACTCGAAGAAATGCAGACGAAAAGCAACAAACTGGCTGAAGAAGCAGCGAAGGCAGGACTCCAAGTGAACATAGAGAAAACGGAGGTGATGAAGATAACTAACAACAACCAGCACCAGTCACTACCAACGGCAGAGATTTGACAGAGGTTACTTCCTGCCTTCACTTATCTGGCCAGGAAGCACGCGGAACGGATGAAGATGTCAAAGCCAGCCAGCCAAAATCGGAGAGGCAAGATAAGCCAGTTCGGAAATCATGTACTTCACTCAGCCAGCCAGCATAAACAAATTTCAGATTTTCTTCAACACAAATGTGAAGTCAATCAGTCAGTCCGTTATTCTATACGGGTCACAAACCTCCACTGAGTGTGAATCACGAAAAGGATTTCCAACATGTTACAGGCTTACATCAACAGCTGCCACCTTCACTACCTGGCCCCATACTGGCCGGCCAGTTGGCCAGACAGAAAGAAACATCAACAAGAAACTCTGCAATGGAACAAACCAACCAACAGCCGATTGCTCAACAAATATGTAGGAGAAAATGGAGATGGATGGATCGGGTATACATTGAGGAGGCCGTCGAATGACATCACGCACAATGCAGGCCATCACTCGAGTAGGATCCCAATGAGAAGTGACGAGTAGTCCTTTGGTGCAAGGGTAGATAATGACATGGAGGAGACAGGGTGTTAGTGGAGAAGTAGATGATAGAGATTATGGGCAATCATGGGTTAATCTGAAGAGGAGAACATAGAATGGGACCAACTGAAGATGTGTTGTTGAAGCCAGCCCTATGTTACACTCGAATCCCAGGGGAATAATGATAATAATAATCCCGTGAGAAGAAAAAAATGGAACAGTTAGTTCCTTTGATATATTTAAAACAGACATTAAGAAGACAAATATAGTGAGATATCTTTATTTCGTTGTTCCTCTTACAGTTGTTTCACAACTAGCATGATTAGCAATAATAACCTGATTTTCAAAAGAAAATGGATGAAATCCTCAAAGATCAGTCAATCTAATAGAGATAATGCTTTTAAAAAGCCTTATTCATCACCAGCTTCAGATTTTATGGATACATGCTTTTATAAACCTATCGGATCGCACACCTCTCGATTGTATGACCTTCCGAAGATTTACAAGCCTGTAAACCCACTAAGATTCATTACAGATGTTGTCAAATCCCTCATACACCATAAAATCGCCAAATCGGTTACGGAGCTTCTTACACCCGCAAAAGATTCCTCATTTTAAAAAAACATTCCACTAAAAGTTCATTCGATCTTATCAATATACTAGACACTATGAACATTAAGAAAAAGTTTATGTACTCAACAGACAGAATCTATGTTCACCAATGTCCCACTTCATGAGACTGTTGATTTCATTTGGGATGATATCATAAGTAATAGAATACAATTACCTATACTTGTCACTTGCATCAAAGATATTATACTGAACAGAAAATTATTAGATTCGATTTCAAGGGAGAAGCACACGAACAAATTGATGTTCTAATGACGAGCCCTCTTTGACTCCTGTTAGTGGATGCATTTATGTCAGTAAAAACTGGAGGAAGAAATGGGAGGTACGCTCGCAAACTTTATGCTGTGCAAATGTGATGTGGATGATACGCTGATTATTGGTAACAACAATGAGTTGACAGACAACTTCATTACTCTATTTAGTGATATTCATCCAAATATTCGAATGACCTGAGGAATTCGAATTGAATAACAAAATGAGCTTTTTGGATATTTCATTGACTAGGCGGGACGACGGAACAGTTAGGCGATCCATTACTTCGTAAACAGACCTGAGGTGGACAATATCTTCATTCCGTGAGTTTTGTTCCTATCCAGTACAAACTTTCCCTTAGCGAAATGCTTGTTTTCAAGTGCCCGTTAAATTTGCACCAGTGACACATTAATGGATGAGCTACGACGCATACATTCGGTTTTATTGGTGAATGGATATTCGGAAAACTTCATTGCACGTCAGTGCAAAGAGAGACTGTCCCTGTAAAAGATAGCTTCCATATGAAAGTAAGCCATTTTTATTAAACTACCACTCAAGGGTGATAAATGGATTCGGTCAGCTATCAAGTGCACATTCTATGCCACATCCCTTTTCCATACATGCTGAACACTTTCAATTCCTGTGCCTACGATTAAAGGACGAGATTCTGTGAACTCTGCTTCAAACTGTATCCAACAGTTCACCTGCAGCTGAGGTGACACATATATGGGTGGGGGGTAGAACCAATAAAATTTCCTCAGAAAGAACATGTTCCCAAATGGTTATTAAATCATATAAAAACCCGGAATATGTTTAATCTGAATAGAAATCCAGCATCATCATTATCATGCAATGCAAAGTATTCATTAATGTCTGGTCATAAAAATCAATATTAATGACTACTTCTCAACTATGTTACATAACTTTAATTCAGAGTTAGTTATTAAAGGTGATAAAAGCACTTTGGGTGAATCACATGCCTCCGAAACGATGTGTTGCAGAAAACGACGATAAACTGCAACCCTTACCTACTATGGATTATTTGACCAACTAAAATATGATCAGCTATTAGTGTGAACTTCTGCTTTATGTAACTGAGTAATTGTCATACATTTTATTTTATTATAGTGAACCCTGCTAATTGTGAAACGATTTAGATATGATAGAGAGCGAGACACGCTTCTCTTTGTTCGAAAGTGGGAAGACTTCGCCAAAAGGCAAAGATCCACCAGAGAACAATTATTCTTTCTCCGTGAGTGCCTTCGTCATCAAATTCTACCAACCAGTGTGAGATACAAACCACTAGTCAACTGCCCAATGCGATGGAAATTGGCCGAACAATGTGGAAGAAGAATAATCAAATTAATGATTTCAAACCCACATTATCGGATCAAGAAATATCAACAAATAATAGATGTCCAAAAAGAAAAACTAGAAAAAACCCTCGACCAGGAACACCTATCAACGCTGATCACCGCAATAACATTGTAGAACACACAGAGAACAAAGACAAAGAGTCCTCAAAACCAAGCTAGCCAAGATTAGAAAACAACAACCAGACAATACACCCATTGACTGCGTAGTCAACCTATCAAAACAACTACTATCAAAATGGAACAACAACTACTACAAAGAGGATTAAACTACAACACCGAGATGCTTCGAAACTGTTCCTTGAATCATTACTTAAATCATCAAACTTGAACGAGGAAACACAGGAATAGATACGCTAAACAATTGTGGAACGATTGTACAGAAACTACGAAGTATAGATATCATCTCGTGACATCTGTCTTCTTAATGCCTTATTTAGACATTCCTCTTCGGAAGCGAATAAAATGTAAACTCTGAATTTGACTGACACCTGCACTGGTCCAAAAAAATACAGAGAACACAGTTGTTCATTAGCTGTTAGGTTTGATTTCCTCAGGATTATCATGCTCTAGGCGTAATTATGCGTCATGTGTGTTAGTCAAAGTAACACCTATACAACTATTACGAGAGATTTCCTTTGAAAACAATCAATGACTAAAACCAATATCAAAAACAGTTATGCTTCAATCGAATTCATATTTTATACACAGTCCGAGGTGAAACTCCACCATTGTTTCCTTTGGATCGCATTACACGATCTGCCCAATACCATAAGTGGAAGTCAAGGAAGTAAGCATAAATCCGTTATGCTAAGTACTACTGATTAGTTGATGTGAGTAGTTTGATGATAGCCAGATTATCGAAGTCATCCGAAAATACAGGGCGGCCGCTCCACTCGTTTGGAGCCGAACTCATCAACGACGTACTCGGTTACGTTAACTAAGACCTCAGGTAGTTTAGCTAACAATCCTAGTTGACCGTCCTTCGTTAACTTAGGGAACCCCCTCATTAAAGTTTGTATCCCTACTTTTTTAAGGTTACTTATAACTTTATTAGTCCCTGTGAGTAAAACGATCTTACATCAATCACGCTACGTATTTGGTAAGAAAAGATTGATTGGAAATTGATTAATCCTCACTTAGTCAGATAGTTTGTCTCTTATGTTCTCCTCGATAGGCATAAGCACATGTTTTCACAATTAGATAAGATCTTTTTTCCATTCCTTTTCGTTCCAAGTGGAAAATAGGGTTTCAAATGTTAAGTTTTGAAGTTTTAGAAGCATTAGTGGGGTTGCTAGCCCCACACTTCCAACCTTCCCCCATTTTCGAGCTTACTTACTACCGGCTGGAAGTGCACCAGCCAGGAATCGAACCTTGACCACGTACCGCGTGCATGGCTGGCAAACATTCTATACTCCTAAATCACCAACGCACAGAATAATATCAGTAATCTTCAACTAATGTACATAGACGCATGCTTAATGAAGAGTAACACCTCATTCAACAAGTTCCATGGATTATTTACAAACACGAAGACATTAGAAGATAACATCATCCTCATCACCACCACCACCAACAACAACAAATATCATTCCATTCTATTTGTACAAGATAACATAATAACATGTATTTGAAAAAGGAAAAAAAACAATAAAATGCAGTAGAAAATTTTGCAAGAACAATAGGCATAAAAAATAAACATAATAAACAAGACAACTATAATACAATAAAAGCATAAAACAGAAAAGTACAAACACATAACGACAGTATAAATTGATATTTTACTACAGCTTATGTATTTGTCAACCCTGCCGTTCAATTTCATATCTCTGAAGTAACAAAAAAGGGAAAGAAACACAAGTGGTAGGTAATATATGGGTATGTATACAAGGAAACTGTGGCTCATTTGCTTTCGGCGCTCGATTTCCAACCAGTGGATGAGTGATTGGGTGGGTGGGTGGGTGGGTAGGCGACGGGTTTGAACCCCAACTCAGCTTACAAAGATTCAGGCAAGCAGGTATGGTTCATTTCCAACTAAATGGAAATACAAATAGCTTTTGAATAACATTTCATTTTCTTATACATATATATATACAGAAAAATAAATGAAAATATAATTTAACTGTTGAGGAGGGAGGGTGGGGAAGAGATGAGAAAACAGGCATACGTTGGACTGATAAAAAGACTCTAGAAGACCTGAGAACTTTGCGGATAATTCATGTCTATGTACGTCGGTGGCATAGCGGTTAGGACGCTCGCCAACCATGCACATGATCCGGGGTTCGATCCCAGGCCGACGCACACCTGATATCAATGGTCGGCCTGCTAAATTTGGGCTACCGATATCACATGCTGGAAATTTCATACTTGTATCAAAAATACTGTGCGCAGTCAAGCTACAATAAAAAAATTTTAAAATATATCACACAAACCTGTAGATCTACAAGCGAAAACCAACAAATAGGCAGAAGAGGCTGGAAGCGAAGATAAGATTTCAAGTTTTAACGAAGAGAAGTGAGAAGTGATAAAGATGTCTAACTGATCAACAACAACAACAACACAAGCACTAATCACCATCGACGGGAGAAATGTAAGGGAGGTCACTTCTTTCTTTTACCTCAGCAACATTGTTTCAACTACAGGCGGGTTGGATGAGGATGTCAAAGATAGGCAGACAGATCATTCATCCATCTGAAATCAATGTAGAAATATTCTGCATTTAGCATTAAGAACAAGATCCAGATTTTCAATACTAATATCAAATGTCAGCGCTTCTATATGATTCAGAGACTTGATGAGTCCTGAAAAATATTTCCGACATGCTTTCTCTCCATAGTGAAGATCAGATGGCAGGCCAGAACAGATTAGCAACAAAGAACTCTAGAAACTAACCAACCAAGAACTTATTGATCAAAAAATATGCGGAAGGGAATGGAGATATACTGGGCACAGGCTAAGGAGACCGTTCAGTGGTATCATACATCAGGCTAACCCTAAAGTGAAATCCTGATGGGAAATGACGAAATGGGCATGGGTTCCAGGGTGACATGCAGAAGACAGTGTGAGGAAGCCATGAAAGCTTACGGGCAATCGTGGAGTTTGCTAAAAGCGCAAACAGAGAACAGAATGAAATGGAGATATATCGATGAAGCCGTATATTCCACTTAGAAACTAAGGGAATAATAAAAGTAACAACCAACCCCACCCCCACCGAAGTTCTACACTTCAAAAGGTGACACAGTTGACTAGTAACTACACTAGGCTAAGAAAGTTAATATTAGATAGTTGGAGGCAATCGGTAGGAAGTCTTGGACCTAAGCTTCGTCGTAGCTGGTGGCACAGTGTAGGACTTCCGACCATACACATGGTCCGAGGTTCGATCCCCTGCCGACGCACACCCGATATCAATGGTCGGCTGCAATGGCACCGATATCACGCTGAATCATTGTAAAAAAAAAATCATCAGCAAGGCGTATCTGCAACCTTGAAAGAATTCATGTCCCTTCTGAGACCCAAACCCGCGTCACCCAGCGCTGTAGCCAGAGATGTTACCATTGAGCTATTCGGGCTCAGTGCCAACTAGCACGAAACCTACGTCCAAGGCTTCCTTCCAATCGCCTTCAACTATCTAATATCAACAATTTACAGTGCACCGTGATAGCGAGCCACCTAGAATGGTGTCCACATTACAAACCTGACTGAATGAATACAGTCTGCAGCAAACAAAGGACTAGACACATTACACTAGTTACTAACTGATTTCTAATGAAAAGAAAGTTAACAGAAGAATACCGAATCATATGTTTATTTGGACTCAATTCCTGAAATAGATGACTTTAATATTTCGGGTTATATGAGCCACACTCTTTACTGTGTGACGCCTGGTGATACTAACCAATCGCCCAAGGGGGGCTGAAGCAGGTGCAGCGTGGGATCCTAACCCAGGTTTCATCCAGTGAAAGTTGAATACTTAAGCCAGTGAGTCACATTTCCACAGAATACTACATAATGAATATTAGAATGTATGCAAAATGGAGATGTATTCTGTAATAGTGAGTGTGCAATTATAGTCATAAGAAATTGTTTAACTGGAAATCATAAGTCACAAGGAGTGGATGCATCTGCACCAGCCACTGAGAACGATTTTGAGCCATGTCACCAATTGTTTCCAACCATTGGTGTTTACCATCCCGAGGACCCCAACCAGGAAGTCTACACCTTCCTACGTGGCCTAGACTAACTGTTGTAGATTTCATTGACTGGTGCCATGTTTTCGTTTAACCGCCGCTAGCTCTTTTCCAGCCTGACCCTATGTCAGCTAACATTGCCCGTCGAGGAAGGCGATGACTAGGCATACGTAACACATGTCCTAACCATCTCAGTCGATGTAACTTCACAGCCTCGTCGACTGATTTCCCCGCCTTACCTAGCACTCGACGCCTAACCTCAATATTGCTCACCTTATCATACCACTTCACGCGGGAGATAAAACGCAGACACCTATGATCGAAGACAGCTAATCTTTTCATGTCTTCCGCTCTCAATGGCCAGGTCTCACAGCCATAAAGGAGGACGGAGCGGACTGTTGAGCAGTACACACACCCTTTGGTCGATAGTCGGATATCACGTCTACGCCAGAGACGGTGTAAACTGACATATGCGAAACTAGCCCTCTGTATCCGTGCTGAGATTTCGTTAGAGATCAACCCGTTGGCGCTGAGTGAAGCGGTCAACGTGCTCTACCACTTCACTTCCTATTTCTAATCTAGGGGTCGGTTTAAGGGGACATATCTAAGTCTTTGACTTGGATTGTTATCCATAAGACAGTGGAGTAGCGTCAGGAGCTTCGTTTCCATGGTTGTCAGTGACTGAAACAGGTTCACACGCCATTCGATCCTTTCAGATTCTGGAGCTCAGGTACACCACAGGTTTGGAATCAAGGTTTTCCAGTCACCCTAAGTAGACCTGCAAGTCCACCAGTTCGGTTATATATAAGCGCCAGACGTTTTCATTTACCCCTTCACTTTTGTGAGGAACACCCCCCCCCCACCGAGTGAAATTAGTAAATAGGACTTACCTCGCATAGGTGGCTACGAACGCGTGACCACATGACGGCGTTTCAATAGGAAGACCAAAGTACACCCACCCCCTCAGTCATACCAGGTCGGTTATAGTGGTGTATACAAAATGATCTTATAAACTGTGTGTACTTGATTTGGAATAGAGTTTTAATTAAGAGGTAAGCTTATATGGAAATATCTCAACTAACAGTGGGCAGAAACTATTCTAATGGTTTGGAAGGCAAACAGGATCATCTTCACATCCAACTAAAGAGGAAGACCAATAATAAACCTGACGAAATTACCAAAAGGACAGTCTAATTCGTAAAAAAAACAATTAATTAGACGGTTTCCCGTGCCACATCATTCGGGAAAAATAGTTGGAACAGTATTTTCGTGAGTCTAAACAATAACCTTGATGGGTAGGAACAAAATTGTTACGATTTAAAATAAATTGAAAACAATAAATAGATAACATTTTTTGCTCTCCTCTCCTCTCCCCTCTTTGATGTACAATGCAGCTTAGATTTCTGTTTATAACTTACTGGATTTAATTTACGCCTAGCAGTTTCCAATTTCCTTCGTAATTCTTGTACACGTGCTTCCTGTCTACGTATATCATCATCGCTTACAATGAATGTCTAAAATGAAAGAACAATGATGAAAAGATGAAAAGAATTCATTTAATTTTATTATTGTTATTATACTGGTATGAACACCCTATGGCCTGGAAGATTTGAGGTGATTTCATGAGCATCAATGGATATGCAGTGCATCCCATGTTACATTTAAACATAAGTGACTAACCTACTGTAAATTTATATGGTTAGACTAATTATTATTATTATTAAGCCCTTGGGTTCCGAGTGGAACATACGGCTTTAACAGTACATCTCCACTTTGCCCTGTTCTCTGCAGCTGGCCCCATGATTGCCTATAAGCTTTCATTCCCTCCTCACACGATCTCCTCCATGTCACACCTCGGAATCACGCCCAACTCGTCGTTCCCCAATCGGGTTCCACTCGACCGATGACCGTGAGCGCGATTTCACCCGACGGTCTTCTCAGTGTGTGTACCTGACCCGTCTCCATTTCCTTCGACATATTTATTGATCAATATGGTTTTTGATTGGTTCGTCACCTAGTTCGCTAGTCTTCTAGCCGGTCTTAAGCCCGGGAAAAGAAGGAAGGTTGGGTGTGGAACTAGCGACCCTACCTAGAGATATCAACTCAATCGCTACAGAAACTTAAAAGTACAAAAAATATACCAAAAAACAAAAAACAAACTTATTCGCCGCTGGAATCGGAGAAACAGAATGATGAGGGCTGATGAAAGTCTTCGATTATTAGGCTAATAGTTACGTGGAATTTGTCAGAAATAACAAAAATAATCCCATTATTCAACTGTCTCGTCGATTCAGAGTATGCAGATGATATACCCCCAACCGTCTAGGTAAAAACGCTGACAAATTGCCTACCTTAAGTAGAAATTTTGGTATGTTTGGCGTCTAATTTACTCCTATCTAATGTGTAAATGATGCTGCAGGACTGGACTACACCAACAGGAGTAAAATGGTTGAGTCTGTTGACCAGTTTACTTATTTATGAAGTTGAATCAGCCCTAATGGACTGACGGCTGACGAAATCTTTGCACAGATACGAAAAGCCCATATAGTAGCTACCAGCTTATTTCATCTCCAGCGTAAGCATAATATCCAGTTATCCATCAAACGACATTCGCTCCGTGCTTCTTTAAGGCTGTGACACAAGGTCGATGAAAGTTTAAGATATGAAGGGGTTGGCTCTCTTCGACCATATGCGTCTAACTTCTGTCTCCCGTGTTAAACGATGAGTAATACTAAGGTCAGACGTATAGTGTTAAGTCAGTCATTCAGGTTGTCTAGCTGCATTCACTGAGTTGGCCAAGATACGTGTTATGCATTACAAGTCCTTGACTTCTTCGTTGAGTAATTAGGCTGGAAAAAACGTATAGGTAATCAAATAGAAATATGGCATCAATCTATAAAGTTTCTGATGGTTCATTTGCGCCACATAAGGAAGTGTAGACTGCCTAGTTGGAATCCTTGATACTCCAAGAACCAATGACTGGAGACTGGTAATTCAAAATCATCGTCAATGATGCAGATATATCCCCTCTTTTAACCTCCTATATCCATTAAGTCCTCCCATTTCTTTATGTAACTATTCTTTCTCACATATATTTCTGTACATTAGAGTTCTTTTGAATTGTCTTCCTCTCTTTTCTCGACTTACGTGTGCCTTATAGGGAGTGGAATAACGTCAGCTGGCGCAATTCTATGATAAGTTCTACTTTGAAACGTCACTCAGTAAGTCAATAGTTCGATAACTTTAAACTATGCGGCCTACACTTTCCCATATGGTTAAAACTAAGACAATTAGTGTCGTGTCTTAGTTCGACTATCCCTAAACTCTTTCCAAGGAAAACAACGGTCCATCATACGCAACGCAAAGGCAAAGACTCACAACCCCGTGAATTTATGAAGAGTTCTACCAAATACAATCTCATAAATATTAAAAGAAATAGTATCAGTGACGGAATTGTTTTTCTTTATACTGAACTACCACTTACTTTAATCATCGGTTGCAAGGGATTCACCGTAACACATGGATTTTTCTCAATGGTTGAAGGTTGTTGTTCTTGACCAATAATTGGAGTATTTTTACTTGATAAAGCATGAATTACACTTTGAACTAATTGTGTAGTTTGATAACCAGGTACTCCAGCAGCTAGAAATGCGGAGGGGAAGAGAAGGAAAAGGGCGAAGGTTTAGACACTATTACAAATTAATGTGGGCGTCTGTGGTTTAAAGGAAGACTGCCCGCCAACCACACACACACGCGTGGTTGGCCCAGGGTTCGATTCCCTGCTGAAACACTCTTAAAACTAGCTACTTCGGTAATAAGCCCGGTAAATAATGAAGGTTAGACATAAGGTTAGCAACCTAAAAACTAATTAATGAGGAATTATTGGTTACCTATTTGAATCACCAGGCTACCTTAACACAATGAATCATATTTTTCGCAATTCTTGTCCTTGAGTCGCAAAATCTACTCTGGCACAATCTAAACCGGCTTTCAAACTACCGATGTGCATTTCACGGGGACGAAAGAAAAGTACCATAAGGGATTAGTCTACGTTTCAGACTTAAGAGCATTACGTCACGTGGGGTACCATAGACTACTATTTTACCTTGAAGATGCTGGATAAGGAGAAAATATTATGCTATAAATTACACCGAGAATTCTGCACACCAGTGTGTAAACATTTTTGTTCAGAATAAGGCTATTCCTTTGTTATTTGTTTATTTTAAAGAAAAACCTCACCTCATAGCTCAAGCTTGAAGCTTTATGTTCCACTTGTAATGTAAAGGGATACCATCAATATAAATAATAATAATAAAAACAAACATTAACGCATAAAACTTACTTTGCATCCCTCTAGGCAGAGAGATTGGTTTAAATGGTTCACCAGTTTCAGGATCAATAGCTACATGATTAGCCAATCGTTTCTCCCAGAATAACTAAAATAAATATGAAAATTATGATGGTAATTTTAAGTGACGGAGGTGAAACGATGTACGCACCTGCTGAGGTGTTTCCTCATTTGCATTTTTCACATCTGTTCGCTTACATTCCGGATGGGAACGAATAATAACAGGTTTAATTTCATTTGTTATTGGATATGGACATCGTCTCACTGGAAAACTGTACTGATTGTCTAGACGTGGGACTTTTAGGGAAAGAGATGAAGGGGAGAATGGAATATATAAATACCACTAGAAAATCTTCATACCTTTCGCTAAGGAAGCGTCTGTTGCTTGTTCTTCAGATTTTTTGGATCGATGATTTAGTGTGAATTTCCCTAACCGCCAGTCAAACAAACTCATATCATATTTATCGCCTAAAATTGCTTGCATTTCCTGTTTATTACGAACAATTTGATTTTGAGGACTGTGGAAAAAAAAACAAAGAATAAGGGAATACACAAAAAAAAACTACCTAATGTAGTAAACATCTGATTTCCCAGTGCCTAAACCATTTGGTCGCATACATTCTTCACGCTTCCAACCAGGTGGCAATGATGATGGCCAAACTTGTTGTTGTTGCTGTTGCTGCTGCTGAGGTTGGTGGTGCTGCTGTTGCTGTTGTGACTGACCAGGTGGTATGGTTTGAACTTTATAAGCTGAATATGAGCCACGTTTTATTTGGTTATTTAACTGATTTGTAGTCAACGTCTGATTCTGCATTTAAGAATTCTGTCGTGAAAAATAAAAACAAAACAAAATATAATTGGAAGAGTTGTTGTGCGGTCAAACTAAAACCTGGCATCAGTCCATGAAGTTTGACTGTTAGTTGTTAGCCAGTCACATAGGGATGTGTAGACTGCCCGGTTCAAGTCCTCGGGATGCTGAGAACCACTCGCTGAAGGCTATTAATGATAGCACGCAAAAACGCTCTTAATGATACATGCGCTTTTTGTAACCTCCTATGTCCATTAAATCTTTGTTTTTCCACGTTACTATTCTCTATCCCTCACATTTATGCTCATTATAGTTCTTTTGAATCTCTTTGCTCTACTTTTGTGTGGATTATGGAGTGTGGTATCTTGAAATGCTGCATTTCTGTGCAAAATTTTACGTTGAAGCTTGGTCAGACAATCGGAAATATTCAACTACTATTGATCGGGTTAAAATATGATCACAGGTAACCTATTTTACCCGTTCAATTAAACATCTCCTTAGATTTTTCCCGTGTTAGAGATGTAGCTTATAAGCACAAGTGCACGGTTAGCAGTACACAGATCACAACTTCGAACCCCGCTTTACCTACCTCAGTCTGATGGCAACTGGGCAGCAATATCAGCCCTCACATGACTCTGCTTGGTAGATGAGGGTCCCGTGCCGGATAGGTGAGTCCAAACGACAGTTGGATTTGATATCTTACAAACGTGCTATTATTCAGTTTATCAAAAATAGTCTTACGCAATATAATAATTACAATTCTAAGAATATTCAGGTACTCTTTTGACTATTACACATGTAACTTTTCAGTTTAAAAATAAAACTTATAACTACTGTCACTCAACCTCATCCAAATGCTGTTACCTTGACGCAGTAACCAAACTTGCATACTCATACCACGATAACACGATGTATACTAGCAAGAACGATTGTTACTGGAAGTCTTAATGTGATGTAGAGGTCAGTTGAATGGGGGTAAAACCAAGAGTCCAAACACTTTATTTCCTTCTCTTCTTCAAATTTCATCACTTTATTTCACTGGTGATACTGTTCTCCATACTGTTTTTACATCACTTAACTGTGAGACCACTGCTAATGACTTAAGGTAGAGGAAAATGTCCTTAAAACAACATAGACAACTTTACACTGAGGCCTTTAATACAGGGAGCACATATAAAAAAATCAGACCCCACCAGCACAGCATCTTGACCTATGGATGCACATCGTATTTGCAAAATATACAAACAAAACTCGAAAGTTAGGGACGACTTCACGCATGTAGTCTATAAAGGGTTCTTGTGCAATTGACCCTTAAGGTACCATATTTTTCTACCAGTTTGTGTACAGATACTACAAAGCTCTCGAACGGAAAATTTACGACCTTCCTAGCTCCTTGGCGTTCGCTATATGCTACGTCACGAAATGAATAATATGTAGGAATTCGCTTGAGTAACCTCTGAACGGTTCGCATGATTAAAAAGAGAAGACTATTTTTCATTCTGAATTATCTGTGCACAGTCGGATTATACATTATTTTGAGAAAATGTACTTGAAATTGAGTAAACCTAGGCACAGCAAGTAGTTACAAAACCCCTACATGTCCAACTAATCTATAAAAACGTTGAGCCCGTGTTTATCGAGTTGATGGTGATGTTTACCTTGTAAATGTACACCGCATTCAGCTTGTCGCAAAAAACATGAATATAATACACAACACTCAGCAAATGATCAGCCAAGGCCTATTTAGAGCAGGCGGTAAAGTGAGTGACTGTGACTGGATATTTAAAAGTTAACTGGCTAGAAGGAGAATGTTATTCCAAAGTGAACAATCCTGAATCCTTTCTATGAGTAATATGAAGGCGCTAAAGTGGGTTCGCTGACCGTTCAACGGGAATGCTACACACTCAGTAAGGTTCTATTTACCAGTGGTACGACTTCCTCACCAGGTTTAATGTCCCACCGTCAGTAACACAAGGCATGTCAAAAAATCCCATTCAACCAGACTAACTACAATTAAAGGGGAAAATGATTTCAAATAAATGCCCGAGGCATATAATAATAACTGACTATCGCATGAAATACTCTGTAATGACTACGGAAAACTACTTCAACTACAGTCCAGATATCTCCTAACACAGACAGGAATAATATATATTATTCCAGCCATAGGGTTGGAATAATGGAACTATATGCTTCTACAAGTTGTTAATTGATTGCATAGGTGCCTAAAGACTAGTTTGTTTACTTCAACTACAATGCTGCCTAACTAACAGTAGTTTAAGAGGAAAATATGTTGAGTTATCATATCTTAGGAGATCCTGACAACGAAATCTCACCAATTGACAATGTAAGCAAAGGCTGATTCGATATCGGAAAACGCCTACAACATGCTTTCAAATGACAAATAAATTGCATTAAATACTGATACCTTAGTTTTTAATAGCAGTTAATATAGCGTTCAGATAACACCATAAAAATACATTAAAACTAAAAAAGTCCAAACACTAACTAACGTAGAGTTCAAAGTAGTTCTTTTCGCATAAAGTACATTCAATATTCAATGTTCTCATTCAATAATCCAGTGTGATTGTTGTTTATAAATCTCTTTGATACTTAATAGTCTCTATATTTTTGTTGAAGTAGTTAAGGTCACTTGTGATAAAGTAGATCCAAGTGCTTTCTTGCTATAGCTTTGTTTAATCCTGAGTGGTTGAATGTTTGTTTTCGAGAATATGAGGATAGCTATTCATGAGCTATCAGTAAGTGGAGGGGAACCCTAGGATATTAATTGGCTTCCTCAGTTTGAGTGATTTCTTGAGTAGAAAAAACGATTACGCTGAAACAGTTAGTGTCGTACTGCATGTTACAGGTGTAGCGGTAGGTAATTCCCCAGAATTCTTTAAGACACAGCACTCATCACTGAACATGAGATGCTGACCCTCACTGTTTTAGTCAATTTGTCCAGCTGAAGGCTTTCGGTCAAGCATCCACACCATTTGGTACGCCGTCGTGTTACGTTCGTTAGTGCACAATCCCTAGCTAGTGAAGCAATCATCTCGCACTCCGATTTGGTCCCGAAATATAACTCGTAATTGGGACGATCAATTCTGGTGTTTTGCTTTGTGGATCGAATACTATAGAAGTTGTGGGCATAAGATCTTGCGTTAGTATACCTCGTACTATCCATGAACGTCAACACCCTTAGCCTCTAAAGTGGTGAGCCCTACAGCTAAATTCATCTTTGGTAAATATGCAGACAAATCCGGTGAGTTCGTTCCATTTTGTATTTCTTCTTGTACTATTTTTAAACTGTAAATATTTCGCCACGAGTGATTATACTCCTAGAGTCATCCGTATTCAATTAACTACCAAAACTATTCAGCTCGTACCATTTTGGCCAGATAATGCAGAATCATGGTCTGAGATAGCTGAGTCTGATTTCAGTGAACATGGGTTAACTGACCAGCGTTCTCAGTTCCTTGCGATTGTCCACGCTGTACCGCGGGAATTAAGCAGATGCGTGGCTGTGCGTATGTCAAACCCGTAACCCATACGAATTGCTTAAAGCAACCCTCCGAAATAGAAATGACCTCACGTACTGACAGCGTCTTGACGAACTATTTCGCAAAGTGGAGTTAGGTGATCAGTTGGCTGTGGACATGCTTACGAGAATGAGGGAAGTTGTCGGCCAACGTCAGTTCGATGAGGGACTTTTCAGAAAAACTGTTCTCGTCTAAACTGCCACAATCAGTACAGGCTGTGCTGGTGACACTTCAAGGTGTTATTATAGACGACTTAGCTATGCCTGCCGATAAAATTCTAGGAACAACAAAACGGCCAGTCAATGATATATGCTCAATTGCTGAACAGACTTCGAGTAGAACTCGATGATGAGTTATACAGCTTCATCCAGCAACTAGTCAGGCAAATAATCCCCGTAATTCCTCCCATAATATTCTGAACTCCCCTGAACGGCGAACCCCATGTGGTCGGCCTAAATCCAAGCCACGTTCACTTAAAAACCCTGACTGGTGTTGGTATCACAATACAAATGGTCAGGAAACGAGATGTTGCAGAAAACCTCGTAATTTTGGCAATGTCTCCAAGACTATGACTATCCCCCTGCCACGCGTTAGCGGCAGTCGTCGCCTGTGGCTCTAGCCGCCTGCTTTACATTCATGATGTGGCCAGCCAGACCCGATACTTAGTCGACACAGGCGCCGAAGTCAGCGTCCTTCCTGCTACAGAAGCAGATTGACAGAAGGAACCTACCTTCAACTTACAGACTGCGAACTGAAAACAGATTGCAACCTTTGCTAGGAAAAAAGTTTATCTGAACGTAGGCTCACGCGAACCTATTCAGTGGATTTTCCTTCTCGCTGACGTCACAATGCCCATCATGATTTACTCGTAGGCATCCACCGAAAACGACAATACTACTAGACTGTCTATCAGAGGCATCGCCCAAATAGGCCATTGTCTGTCACTCATTAAGAAGAAGGCAATCTTTGATCCAACTTTACAACCGATTGTTGATAAGTGCCTGGAACTTAATTGCCCGTCTAACGATCTACTGTGCATAAATAGCAGTGTTATGCATCACATCATAACTTCAGGACAACCCGTGACATCTAAAGCACGACGACTTGCTCCTGACAAACTGAGAATCGCTAGAAATGAGTTCGACCATATGCTCACCCTTGGCATCTTTCGGCCATCGAATAGTCCATGGGCACCCTCACTGCATATGGTACCGAAAAAAGATAGCAACAGTTAACGGCCAACTGGTGATTATCGGCGAGTGAACGCCGGTTAACTCTTTCAAAGGAAAATTAGATCTCTGCAGATATATACTACAAGGATTAACACGTGTACAGGCCACAAGAGCCCACTTACTTTATTATCGGACTCTACTGGATACGACGGGCTTTTTCCTCTCTAACCGGAAAATACCTATTTTGTGAATTATCCTCTTGGGAAACCTGATCTTCCTAGCCGGTGAATTAAATTCAACCATTGCTTACATATTGAATATCTGTGTGGTAAGTCCAGCTATCTCGAACTACTGCCAAAGCTTCAGGTGCCACTTCCGTAGCAGCATCTTCCTCACTCGTTCAGATAAACAAGACTTGTTGGTCTACCACGTGATTGCTGTGAAGCCGATCATCCAGAAAGTACTAGGTAAAGTCGAAAACTTTTTCTTTTCCTCGTCTTGTACTTTTTCAGTCTTATTTTTGTTCTTGCGGGTAGATACTGTTGCACTCTTATTCTTATATAGCATAAGTTTTAGTGATTGTTAATATGGCTGTCGAAATTGGCCTTAGAAATGGCACTAAAACACCTTACTCTGTAGTCACAAGGGCTTCAGCCAGAGAAGGCCAAAACCAGGGGACATCAACCCCATGTCGCATACTGATCCTAAAGTCTCGTGTAGGTCTCGTCTGTCCTGAGACTACGCCTGCATTGCCCCAGTCTAGTATTGAAACGGCACAGGCAATACCAGGAGGACAGGATGCTACACCTGCATCAACTTAAAGCCAGTCTGTGAAACACAGCAAACCTAAAAGGAAACGCTCAAGACGTCATAAGACCTCGAAGGCATCATCAAGTAAAGGAGAGGAATGCCAGGCGTGCAGTATCATAGTTTCTGAAGCTGACTCAGCGTTTGAATGCAATTTTTGCAAACGGTGGGTGCACTGCCGTTGTGATAAAGAGGTGCCGAAAGCATACTACGAGTTTATGAGAAATGGCCCGTGCCCGTGGTTTTGGTACATCTGTCCACTTTGTCGCCCTGGCAAAGTCCCACAGAGCGTGTCTGCGGATAGCAGAAACAACAAGTCGCTCTTGTGTCCCAACAAAGTCTTATGCAGCTCCCACCTGCTAACACCACACTGCCAAAACTTGGCACAGACAGTAAGAAGGACACTCCAATCCTACTGACTGAAAATGCCAATTTTCATAAGGTGAAGATTCAGAAAGCTGGACCCACAAAATCAAGGGAAGAGAGAATTAGAAAAGTACCACTTGCGTCCACAAGCAAGCTCGGCAACACAACAAAGGCTGGCCAGAACCTGATGAAGCCTAAAGTTGCTGGTGCTGCAAAGGAATACAAGAAGCCAAAGGCCAAACCCAAGTCTGAGGTTAATCGAACTAATTCTCTTATCCTCTTTAACGTACCTGTGAGCAAGGACAGCTTGCTTGAACAGCGGGCCCTGTTTGATCAGGAACAGTGGTCCAACCTGTGCAATAAATTAGGTCTGAACACTAGTTCAGTGAAATTGTGAAGGCTGTACAGGGGTGTCCACACGCCTCAGGGAAAGCCACCCCCATTAAGGGTTACACTGGACTCTGCCGAAGAGGCCGAAAAGGCACTATTGATGGCTCAGGTACTAGCCATCGACAGAAGTTCGAACATAAGGGTGAGACAAGACAGACCATGGGCTATCAGACAAATGGCGAGGGAGTCACCGGAACTGATGCCTTCTACCTCTATGGTGGTACACGGTGTTCCAGAGCTGGAAACGGGCACTGCTTGTGAAAAACACATGCATGACGTATGGCGGTGGAGATGGCTGTCATCTCAGATGGCCCTTGGCGCTTCTGGAGCCATCTGCATTTCCCGACTACCTCGCCCGGCTCATCTCACACTGATTAGCTCTCTAAAGCTTCTAAGTGTCACATTCAACTCCCCAGAGCAGTTGGCCATAGCACTTCAACGGTGTTATGAGACCAAGGGGAAAATAGGACACATCCGATGCTGCGAAAGCAGACCTTGAATCATAAGGAGGCAGTAAACTGAGGCTTTAATACGTCCCCAAGCTCCAGTGTCACTAGAGCGATGCAGTTCTGAGAACAACAGTCTTTGTCACCCAAGTGTCCTGCCTAAATCCATGGAAAAACACCACAAGGGGCCGGTTCCAATGGAATCGGCCAACTAGTCCCAACATTAAGTCCCCTACCAGCAGACAGCTTCACGTCAACTACCCCACAACACGCTGAGGTTGTAAGACTCACTGTCAGCTGCCTGTATAGCAATGTGAGGGGGCTGAGAGTAAAAATAGGTGAACTCCGAAATCTCCAAGCACACCTACAACTGAAAGTGATCATTCTCACCGAAACATGGCTAACCCCCACTATCACCGATAATGAAATCAGTATAGGTGATATGGTTCTGGTCAGGAGAGACAGGGATAATAAGGAAGGAGGGGGATTTGCTATATACTTTGACAGGCAACTTAAATGTGTGCGCGCAACGGACCCACCACTTATTGAACTCCCAGACTCCATATGGTGTCATTTCACCGTAGGCCACACCAAGCATTTACTTGGTGGCATCTACCGATCTCCCACCTGTGGGGCAGAGCACAATCAGCTACTGCTCAGCACTATCACAGGGATACGAGACTTGGGCTATGACCAAGGGGAAAATTCAGCCGAAATCTACTGCAAGCTATTCGGAACACGGGACTGACTGAGAACGCTGGAGACGACACTAGGTGGGGCCCTAGTGGAAAGTCATCAAAACTAGACTACATTCTAACTAGTGACCAACTAGTTGTCGA